TTAATTTCCCTAGAGAGAAGATTGTTATATAATACTCTCAAAAGTTTATGTTTCTTTATAGAACCCTTAAAAGTTCCACGATTTGTATTTGGGTCACCTCAGTAAAAGCCACATAAGTGTACATTTTTGCTATAAGTATTTTCTATATAAAAAATATTTAGATCGGTAATTCACTACAGTATGATTAAATATTTTCATAGTATAATTTAGTTTAAATGAGTATAAATATTTTATTCATAGTGAATTTACAATCATGGATCCTTGAAATTTAATAAATATTGGCAAAAAATAACTTAAACAACATAAATTATTTTTTAATTCATTTAAAATGTATATTAATTTCAAAATTATATTGTTTGGATATTATTTGGATACACTAAGTCACGAGTTTACCAGAACAAAGTTCGAAATGTCTTGAAACTTAAAAACAGAAATTCGTCGTGTCCTCGACGAACTTGATGGAGAAATGTGTTATCCAGTGATGGTAAATTTTATGGAAAGAATAATCGCCTGACAGGCTAGTAAGGAGGGTCATATGTCAGATATTGTTTATCACTATTAAACCATATCTTCTCCTGAAGAGAATGATATATTTTTTATGTTTTTTTAAAAAAAATAAATGTAAATTATAGCAGATTTAAATCCTGTTATTTTTGAAACATCCTATATGTATTAATTGTACAAATGTTTCTTAGAACCCAATTACGAAAATAATTGAATGCCTCTAAGGAATGATAAAAAAAAGTGAAAGTCTTGAATACGTAATTAGTTACCATACCATTATTATATGAAAGCTAATAAAAATATGTTATTGCTAACAGTTAAAAACCCTACATTATAATTAATTCAAGTGTGTTAAATAAAATACACAAATAAACCATGAACTAAAGACTATCAATAACTAAATTAAGTATGAATATATAAAAATTAAATTTGTATTTAATCATTCATTATTATAAAACTAAATATATGGCACTTATAGAAGGAGTCAAGGTGGCAATCAAACAACCCGATTCAATTACTTACAATTGTTCTGATTCGCTTAGTGTACTGGACAACATCAAGTATGATTTCCATTCCAGTACTTAAGCTATCAAAATAGGCAATTTATTATCCAAATCCAACAAGAAAATACGATTTATATGGAATCCAGGCTATTGTGTTATTATGGGAAATAAAAAAGCTGATTTAATAGTTAGACAAACAGCTAATAATTCCACGACTAAAATACGTTCTTCTTTCTCTATAATAGATATTCATAAAATTGTGAACACTTATTTTCTAACTTATGGGAATCCAAATTGCAATATACACCTAATAATAAGCCTAGAAAAATTAAAAAATATAACAATTACTGACCTAAACCCCAAACATTCAATCGAAAAGACGAAGTTATGGTCATTAAACTAAGAATAGGTCATTCAAAATCAACCCATAGAAATCTGATGAGAAAGAAAGAACCTACATGGTGTAAATCTTGTGACGAACTTCTTTCGGTCAAAGACCTTGTTTTCACTGCTGAATTCATACAGAAACGAAAATTAACCTAGGTATTCCAGACAACCACTACGAAGCTCTTGGCCCAAACGGCAACAACATCAAGAAAATCATCTTATTTCTTAAACTGACCAATAAGTATAATTCTATTGAAAAATTATGATTCCTTGTAAGCTAATAACTTTAGTTTTTGATGCTATACCAAGAAAAAAAAATAAAAAAATAAATTAAATAAATCAAAAGAAATATTTAATTCATACTTCTTTATAATTTTATTAAATATCAACTACCTAATGATTCCTTAAAATTATAATTTACCTATGAATATATTAGTCGAATACTTATGGAAATACCCTGTATTTATATCCAGACAATTTTAAAATATAACATTTACAATAAAAATATGAATAATCCTAGTAAGTCGTAAATAAAACAGAAAAAAAATGTATGTAAATTAGTATAATGAATTTAACTATATACATAAACAAACAATTTATGCTTATAATTTGGTCAACATTATTATATTCAAAACAATTAAGTAATAACATTTAATTCGAATCAATAATAATATAAACTAATAACCGAATAAGGTTAATAAAACCTAATTATATCAGTTAATCTCGACATTTTCTTCAATTTTTTTGCATTTCAAACACTTTTAAGGTGGAACACTAATATATAAAAATAGTTCTATTTGATTGGAATATTGAGAAAAATATTTAAAAATTAATAAATAAATAAAATACTCACTGGAACAAAAAGAATATTAAAAAGAAAAAAGAAAATATCAATAAGTGCAACAAAACAATTTTATTGAATTTCATCGAAATATTAAATAAAATATATAAACATAAACAATCTTTTAAATTATTTCTAAACGTAAACACACATACAACTATACATAGTATAATGTAGACCATATTTTATTGAAAAATAAAAAAGACACATACAACTTACTGTACTTATAGAAATATTTGTAACAATAACAATACACTTAAAAATGTATCATTTAACTTTTACTTTCTAGAAATCTTATTAATAAAAATGTTCAAACTAATATTTTTAAATACAAATTTAACAGCCTTTGTATAAGTGTTGGAAACAAAGAACTTTTAAAACATTTAAAGACACTTACCAACTAACAAATTAATAAAATAAATAATCGACTTAAGTTTGAAGCTTTTATGGGCATCACTATTTAAATATATCAAAATTAATTCACGTTATGAATTTAAAATATTGAACTTTAATCTATACATTTTTTAGTTTCATATTCAAAAAATGCTTTAAAATTAATAGTAAATTTAATTTCCACAAGCAAGATGTAAAATTTTAAACACAAAAATAATAATTCATTCTAATTTTCTCATAATTTTTTTTTTTTTTTTGTATAACTTAAAAATAAAACGGGCCACTAAAACTATTACAGCATAAAAAAAAAACTAGATATTACAGCTATCTAAAATAACACCAGGAAATCCCTACCATATTTTAATGATAAAAAAATTAATAATCTTAAAATTTGCGGGCATCCAAATGGTTAATTGAATATTAAAAAAATAACATCCTGAATGAGAGTTATATATTCTGTTTTATTAAAAAATTTTTTTTTAATAATAATTATAAGTTATATCTCCATGAAAATTAAATCTCCGATCAAATTATAATAAATTAATAACAAGTTTAAATCGCCACTCATAATATAAATATTTTTATATTGATCGTAAAGTCCACTATTTCAGAACAAACACTTTTTATACAATTAATGTACTCCAATATCTAAAAATATGCAACTCAGTGAAAACAATTGTACAAATGTTACATGACAATTGATATTTTTGATACGCGAGTAAAATGCACGTAGTGCTTTTTTTGAATATGTAACCCGTTTTAATCAGTTTTTAAAAAATAATAAATGTCGACATATTTCTTTTCTGCAATTAACAATTTAATTGTTGGTTACATATTTCAGATTCCGATCAGAACAAAATTCGGTGAAACAACCTTTTTTATAGTTAATCAGGTTCTTATACTTTTTTCATTTCAGTCTTGTTCTTAATCTAGATTTTAGTGATTCTGTTTTCAACTTTTTATTTTTTATGAATAATTTATAAGTGATACATTATTAGAACCAAGGAAGTTCACTAATGAGGTTTATTTTTTTTTCGGCTAATATTTTTTAAAATAGTAAAAGTTTGATGATGTGTCAATATTGAAAATTTCTTCAAGAAATCCGCATATAATAAAAAATACGAGAAACATTTGCTTTTACAAAATTTTTAGATAAAGTGGGTTCTACTCATAATTATTTTTCGAATACGAAAATGTTTGTATTTCTACATTATAAATAATTATAATTCCATCAACATTCGTAATTGACGAACGCATAATTCTAAATTTTTTATTTTATTTTATTAATCAAATAAATAAATCAGTAAAATAATAAAATAAAATAAATCAAATATGTTTACATAACTATAAAAAGAAGGTATATTGAGTATATAAATAATACAAATTATATATACTCATATATATATCCATATGTATATTTTTTTGTACATTATTATTATCTATATTTACAATCATTCAAGATTTACAAAAAATCATACTCCCAATTCTGTTCAAGACCCCTCCCTACATTAACCCAATATTTTAATATATTTTTAATTCATATATTATAAGATGAAATTAGCATTATTAAATAATATTGTATTCAAAATAAAGATTATATTTGAATTAATTAATAAAATAACATATTCTTAATTATATCATCTACTTCCTCCTTACCATTTTCAACTATTTGGGATCAAGTCCGTTTTCAAAATAATAGAATACCTATTTGTATTTTATTCATTCAAGATAAATACAACACTAAAGTAATATTCATTAAACAAATTAAAAAAAAAAAATGTATTATGACTAAAACGTGATTTTAATCATAATCTGTATCCCTCCCTTACTATGGAAATATTGGATACGCCACATTTACATATCTCTACCATCTCTACCCTTATTTCGTACACAATAAACACTGCTATAACTTACAAACCCGAATAAGTAGATATGTGTCATGTAAATAGTACAAAAAAAATAATTAAATACGAGTTAATAAAAATAAATAAATAAAGTTCGTCTTGGTTGTAATATTCTTATACAATACACTATTTTTCAGCAATCTATGATAACGATGAAAATAAATGACAAAAATTGCAAAAATACCTTTAAATCTATATACAATTCAAATTCGTACATACACATAAATTAAAAATAATTAAAATTTAAGACCAAATCTGGCGATGATTTAACTGCCAAAACTCAACTCAACAGAACTACAAATTTAATTCTACATTTTAATGATGTAAGTAATATTCAAGACCACTTAGGCAAGCGATACGTTATTTTGAAACAAAAACTGGCGGGTTTTACTAGGAAATTTTAGGTACATCACTCGGAATGCAAATTTATTTAAACTAATCTGTAATATTATTCTAGTAAATAATTACCAAATGAAGTCCTTGCAGTGACTACAGAAAGTCGGTTGCTTGAAGAACCTCGGTATAAATTTGTGATCTTTGACGTTATAGACGTTCTTCTTTTTCAACGCTCCTTTACGCCCACGCAATCGCAGCCCAAATTTGGTATTCATGTCACCGGCGTTATTCTCTTCCATGTTTCCATCGTCTTCGGCCATTTTCACCTCTACCCGTGCAATCAGTAACAAACGACGGTGTTCGTTAAAATATAAATCAAATAGAATATTATGTACTTAATGTAATGATGTCAAGTAATAAGTGCGCTGGACTGATAAGAAAATCAACCGAAAGAGAACGTCCAGCACCAACTGCCATCAGTGCATAGTAGTGACTGGTGACTGCCCGCGGCACGGAGCCAGCTTTGAGAACTCGTATTTTGATGAACGCGCTATCATCCAGATTCGACCGAGGCTACCAACTTAGTCGACCAGTGTGGCCCGCAGAATATTTCGTTTAATAAAATTGTGTCATTTTGTTAACAACATGCATTTTATCATCCGACATCTTATGTATTATCCAATTATTAGTATAATAAAAAAAGTTTTACTAATTGCCGATTACTATTTTCTTATTATTTATTTCATTTTTGTGACATAGAAACTTAATTAGCAAATCATTTATTAGTCACTTTATCCAACACTTTAGTTACATCATCTATATATAGATTCAATATTTTTATTTTTTGTATAATATAATAATTGAAATACATTATTTACATAATCGGATAATTACTAATAAAATACTTAAAAAAATATAGTTTAGGTTACTCAATTTATTTTATATTTTTGAACAATGTCTATGCCCGTTTTTCCTGCTAATGCACCTCAAGTTCCTCAAGCCATGCAACAAGTACAGCAACAACAACAACAGCAACAGCAACAACAACAGCAACAACAACAGCAACAGCAACAAGAAAAATTAGACAATATATCAAAAGTCAAAACTCAAGTGGTTCAACTCAAAGAATCATTAAGCTGTGTATTACGAGCAGCTTCATATACTCTACAACAAAATCATTACATAGATACAGGATTACTGAAAACTGTTGATATGCCTAGTCCACGGTTTGAAAAAGCTATTGAAGAATTTTTCTCAATTTGTGATCAAATTGAATACAACCTTAAAACTGCCATTGAATGTCAACAACAAGGTATAATATCTATGTGTATTTATTTGAAAATAATGTTTGGCAGTATAAACTTATACCTAAATTGTATGTTTGTAAATTACTATAATTTAAAATTACAAGTGTTACGGATATAAATGTAAGTCCTTACAAACATCATTATACTGGGGGCCACACAATGAATATTAAACTATTACCAATTGTTAGAATAGTTTTTATTACAAATTTATGATGTACAAATTCAAGTCTTAAAATAACAACATATAAAGGTTTAGATATGCGATTCGCATATATCTCGAGGCTAACTACTCAAACATAATGATAAATATCAAATATTTAAAATATAATGTATTTTAGCGGACCGGGATACTGAACATAAAAGGTATAGGGCAACTATAAGATACTAATCTGGACATAAATCAGATTGTATACAAGTTAGTACGTGTTAATCCTTGAAAAAACCACAATACCATACAAGAACGGTATATAAGGGGGTATGAAACTGACCAATAGTCCAATTGTAACAAACACCTTCACGCCAGTTAACTTTTCTTAATAAAATACATTTTTTGGACTTAGAATATTGACAATAAATATAGTTTAACTTAATTTGAGTAATTATTTGAAATATCCTAATATACTTCTTAACCTCAGGACCGTTTAACTGACGGCATGAAACACAAGAATCGAAATTGAATTAACAAAAAGATAATTATCTGAATTTAATTTAACTTTTCTTAGAAATGTTTACTATTCATTATGATTTCTTTTAAATTATAAAACGATGCATTTAAACAATTACAATTAATATTCCTAATTTACTACATGTACCATATATTATCTTCTTAAATCTAAAATTCTCAACTAATAACTATATAGTATATAATAACTATAAATTATCTTATTCTGATCAAAGTCTGAATAGGTACTCATCAATTTTAAATTTAAAGTAGATATAGTACAATATTACATTTTTCATCTTCAATTTACTGTCAAATGTATCATTTTTTATTATCACATTAAATTGTGTTCATTATTTTGTAATAAAATGTTTTTTTAATATAATTCTTAATTACTATGACTAATAAATTACTCATTGATTATATGCTTTTTATTGAAATAAAGGATATATATATATATATATATATAAGGATAATACAATTAAAAGATTTTGATAAAAAATATTAAATATAACCTTTTTTTCTATTAACTATATTATTATTTTAAGTTAGATTATAATTAATTTATAACGATTATCTTGTTTTTAATATTGAGTAATAAAGGGACTTTACAATATAATATATTCAGTAAAACAAAAAATAAATATATAAAATCCATGATTAATAATAGCATTTATTACTAAATAGAATATTATAGACATATAGATACTATAATCAGAATATTAAAGTAAGTACCTGTTAAATTATCTACACTGAGAAGTTACATTTGTCTTATTTCTATTAAAAATCAAATGCTTCCTATTACATTTATATATATATTATTTTCTATTGTTAGTATTAGTTTTTTTAATTGCATATATTTATTTATATTCTTAAATTAACCCTAGATTTTATGTAGAACGTATTCTGTACTATCTAATTTTATCTGTGAATTATAGATACAGGTTTTTTGGTAATTTATGAAACATAATATAAAACAGAATTAATACTCACATACATATATATTGTTATTTATATTATTATAAATATTATTATACAAACATTTGATAATTCAATAAGTAATAACAATAATTATAAAAATGTTTGTACAACAATTCTAATTTGATTATCATGAATATTTACTTTTTTTCACTTCAAACTTTTTTCCTTATTTTCTAACCCTTAGTTAACAATTAGATAATAATCAATACATATTTTTAAATAATACATATTTTATTTAATAATTATTACTTTACTTTTTAAAAATATTTGTGAACATAGAAAGAGAATAACTTAAACAATATAATGTGTTGCCCGAATCATCATTAAAGAAATTTATTTTTTATGTTAAGGTCTAAGCAGTCAACGTTATATACCATTGATGGTATATCCAACAAGAACAGAACCATTACCAGCTCAGGAATTAAGTTCACTTACTTATCCTCAATATTTAAGCACAGTTCGGTCACAAATTTCTTATCTAAAAGAAGTTCAAGAGTTACTTTTATCTGCATCTCAAAATAATTCTAGTGAATAATAAAGAAAAACTGTATATTTTAATAGCATAAATGTATAATGTATAATCTATAATATAAGAATTTGTAATAATATAATTATAAAATAAAAATGTTCACAACAATAAATAATTAATGTTCAAACAATTTCATAATTTCCTGAATATAAAGAAGTCTCAGAAGTAAACTTAACAGGAGTATTATCATCAACAAGCCTAATTTCTACCGGCTTAATCTTATTGTAAGCAGATTTTGAGATAAAGTCTACTTTTATGGGGAAAAAATCTGAAGCAACAGACTTAGGTGCTTCAAATTCAATAGACCCTGTAGGATTAGATGAATCAACCACAGCAACTGACCATATTAAAACATTTTTTTTGGGCTCATAACTATAAACTCCACTGCACTCTTGAATAACTGGAGCATTTCCAAATGGCAATGGAACAGTTACAGTAACATTATTTAGTTCCAGGTCAACGTGTTCCAAATTGTATTCAATATTTACATCACAACCACCATAACCATTTTCACTAGGCCAGCAGTTGATTGAAAGTGGAATGGCAGACTCTTCTTGTGACTGTAAGGTCCATTTTAGTAATCCTACTTCAGAATCAATTGGAAAAGGCTTTGCTGGATTTTTCAAGCCTATTAAACGATTAGTTTTGAAGAGTTCCTTATCAATATTAGGATGCGTTTGCAATGGAATGTTTCCTGATTCGGTATTAAATTGTAAAACAATTTTTTGATAGTTCTCATTTGAAATTCTTAATGAAATCAATCCGTGCAATTCAAAGTTGCGAACACCTCCATCACGACCAACGATTGCGATTAAACGTTCTTCTTTTTTAATATGAATATCACTTTGAACTGTTGATGAAGTAATAGAAGCTGCTTTTTTATTGATGGGTACCACTTTCTCACCTTCCGATTTTAATTGATCAACAAACAAATCAACATCTTTAGATTTAGCTCCTAATTTTAAAGCTTTATTGCTTGCTGTATATTTTGGTGTTTCTGCCTTAGGCATTTTAATTTCATAAATTGAATCAGCAACTGGAGACATTGACATATAAGAGCTTGATGATGTCGGCATACGAACACCTTTTTTTACGGCATCAATTCTTTGACGTTGTAACTCTTTTGCTTTTTCACGCATTTTAACTTTGGCATCACGTTCTTGTGATTGGCGTACTGCTTGATACATTTTTTCCTCGTGGGAATCCATTTCAACAAATGTTCTTACTTGCGCTAAATTAACACTCTCTCTATATCCCAGGGCAACAATTTCATCAAAAGCAAATATTAAATCGAAAGATTTTTTTGACACTTCACTTTCATCAACTAACCTAAAACAAAATTAAAATAAATGTGAACTATATATTAACAGCTTTTCACACACATTTTTTAAACTATTACTTGCAACAGTCAAGAACTACTTTTGAAAACAATCTTAATGTTTCCAAATCCTCTAATATGTTACTGGTCTTTGTAGTAATCAATAACATATATAGTTTGTCCAATGGTTGATATACATAACGTACAGAATCTGTTTCCACAAATGTGTGTTGAATTTGACGTTTTTCTGTTGACATAAGCTTCGGAAATGCTGCCAAAAGACCTTCAATTCGCGCTTTGGTCATTTCAACAAATTGTCGCGAAACAATTGTTTTTCCAGTTTTAGTGCATACGGCTGAAGCTAACAGCACCATTTTGGCAGTATAATTTCAAAAACCTATGAATATATATATATATACAACACAATAAATAATTGAGTTGTCAGTGAGATCAAATTGATTTACAAATTTAATAACTAGTTACTTACCTTGGTAAATTTGGAATTTCAATCAATACGAAATCATGAGTTCTATCAGCAAAGATGAATTAAGAATATTGTAAATTGTTAAAAAAAAAATTGCATTCAGTAATGTCCACACGAAAATTTTTACACTGTACACACTACACAATCATGGTATACTAGACAAGGTATAATGGCTCGATGGAGAGGTTTACTAAAAAAAAACCGGCACGTCATGGAAAGAAATAACAAAACGTAGATCACGGTAAATTAAATAAACTGATTAGTTAGTTTATATTAATTAGTTATTAGGTCAATAGAGACAATATCATAATCGTACACATCACAAAATCACTATACATCTACGGTGCACAAGACGACACAACCTGATAAAAAGTTGGACTTGTCACCGATCACAATATGACGTCACTAACATTATCCGATCTAATACACCACGTTCTACCACTATCTTGCTGTCATTAATCTCCTTTTCTATAATTCATATTTTTCCTCTTATCTCAACTTGTGTTATCAATTTGACATGTGGCATTGCACCCGGTGTTTGGTTGTCGGTACATACGTAACTACCATAGGAATACCACCACAGTTATTTAGTTTCTAATGAAACTTTACGGATGTACGTGCTACGATCATATCAATTTTACATACAAAATTTACTTAAATCATTTAAATTATATTAAAATGAATATTTTATAATAATGTGTTATACAATGTACACGTCATCTAAGCAAAAAATGCATTAAAAATATTTCAACGTTAGTCTGCTGTGTTGCTACATTGAGCAAAATCGAAACTGATAAATTACCGAATAATTTAAATTGATAAATGTTAATATATTTTTGTTTAACGATAGTCAACTTGCCTCCTTGTCATTAGTAAAATGTTCATTCTAAAAACAATATACAACAAACCAAAATTGTAGTCTGATTGCAAATTAGGTACGCATTTATCTCCCGTCAATTTCATATTTACCTTATCGTTCAGAACAAACCGCAATTATTTAGAGGACATTTGAAGCCCATGATGTAAATTTTCTCCATCCGATATTCGACACGCACAGAATATGATAAATATACATTTGCCAAAGAATAAAACCAATCGGAATTCATCAATATTACTGAAAACTCGATTCATATTATATAATTACAAGTTACAAGTTGTAGGAAATATGAATCAGCCATCCGATTGTTTCAGAACATTAAAATAATAACCACTCGATCGAAAGCTCAACTGTGTTATCATGAATAATATTATATAATTGTGATTTAAAAAACAGTATACGTGTATGCAGTTTTTATTTTATATTATAATTATTGTTTAAAAATAATTGATAAACACTTATCTAATTGGCTTATCGATATTATAAAACAATAATATCACGCATCGTCATCACAGATAAGCTTTTTTCTACGTTATGTTCATGAGAAAAAATACAGTTCATATTCTTACAATAATAACGGCAAACAGCGAAAAAATAGATGTACGGCGAGTGAATAGTTGTTAATGATTAAGACAAAATGAGTACCTAAGTAAGGAAAATAAAGCAACATTATTAACATTATTTATAACATATTTTATTAACATTATTATAACATTATTTTATACCCATTTAAATCGGTAGGTACTTTTAACCTTTCACTGTAATTAATTTTCGGTGTTTTACATTTAAACTTAATAAATAGGTTAGATAATATGTTGTATAAATTATTAAAAAAAATAATAAAATATTTATATAAATACGAAAAACTTTTAGATAGTAAATCAAAGTTTCAACCAGAAACAAATTAACACAAAAGTTCCAAATATACAACCGATCGGTCATTTTTCAATTTTCTCAATAGCTTACTTAAGTACGACAAAAAACCTTGAGAAATAATAATGAATATCGTTCTGCATCTCCAATCATGTATAGACATTATATATTATATATTTATTTTTTATACAGCAAATCGTATAAATGACTCAATATATAATAAAGGCCATATGTCATTTTATCTGAATATAAAAATCTAAAGGTTTGGCTCAATTATCATTTTTATAAAGGGTAAAGTACGAAACAACCCTTATAAGACGCAACTAAAGTCAGAATAATAATAGACTGCCTCCTACAAAAGGGTAAATTACTTAGTCAATTTAGTAATTATTGTAAATATATTAAAAATTACCTACCTTTTCTTCATCGATCAAAAATCAAAATCGTATATGAATATTAACTATGAATGTACGTAAACTGTCACTATTGTATGAATTAATCACTAAATAACAATATAATTTCATGTTAATTAAAGTGGATTTAATTAGCAAATATAATGTGTACAAACAACATGACGTGATTGGGTTGAATATAAATAATAAATATTAATCAATGTATTAAAATGAAACAATTTAGATAAATATTTCAGTTAATTTCATTCTTATGAAAAATGAACTTTAAATAATCATGTAACTTTATGGTGTCAAAAAAACCAATACTATTACATTATACTAAGCTATAAAAAAAAATATTTGTAACATCTATTTATTTTTTATATTTTTAAATATGTATGTATAATTTAGAATTAAATGAATTCGTGGATGGATCAAGAATTATTGAGACCTACATTTTTTGAATAGGTAAGCATAAGTTGAAAATTAATCAAAATTCAAATGATTAGCTATAATATTTGTTTTATAAATTGCACAACAGCTATAATATTTATTAGTTTAGTTCAAAATTAAATACTATGTTATTTTGACTTTAATATTTTAACTGTGTCATAATTATGCAACTGCAAACGCTCTAGCACAGCGGTTCTCAAACTGTGCATCGCGACCACTTTTTAAGGGCACCGCGGTCTACGGTTCATAACAAATAGTTTAAAATTTATAAAATTGTTTTTCTTCATTATTTTCGTAAAAGCTTTATAGCAAATAATGTAATATTTTCTATTGTATATTCGGAAATTCTCATTTTAACCTTGTAATATTTTTATATAATAATTATAATCATAATAATAATAATTTTTATTTATTTATTTCTTAAGTTTAAAAATGCATTAATTTATAATCAAGTTAAATTTAAATAAAATTAATAAAATTAGTAATCAATAAGTATTTTTTTTTCTGTCTTAAATGTTATTCACAGCAGGGCACCGTGGCTAAATTTGGTACCAAAAAAGGCACCGTGGAAAAAAAGTTTGGGAACAGCTGTTCTAGTACAAGGATGAGTGCCCCCTTTTACATCATACAAATAGAAAACATCTTTTTATATCACGTTAAAATATCCATCGTCCGGACAGAACATAAACATATTCACTTTTCAAAGTTGTAAACAAATGTTAAATCACCAGTTACAATTCTTCAGTATTAGATTTAAGTAGCGTGTCTGTGGACTAGTTTCCAATAACAGTAACAGTCGTACTTGTACCTGCAGTACGAGTATCGAACTTTGATGTTATGGATTAATTAGACATTTGGTGGCTTACCCTTAATATGTAGGCTTCGAAGTTCTGAATGACAATTCGTAACACCGAACCGTTTCGAAAACGATTTAACTTGATAATTTTTATCAACTCTTTATAATCAAAGATTATTATTATTATTATTATTATTATTCGTTCTTTTGGCGTTTCCGTTGAGCTGTTTTTATTTGGATACCGTCTTCAATCCCTTTATCTACAAAGCACATCATTAGAGTAATATTTTTAATAAATCGTGTTTCTTTGACATGAAGATTTTATATGTTTCAATAGTCCCTCCAAATTCAAAATCATAGTTTATATGGTTTATAGCATATGTTTAAATCAATTAAATGGGCGATTTTTATCCCACAATTCTATAATTTAAAATGTTTAAAAACTTTATTTTACCATCATTAAATTGTATAATTGACAAAAAAAAAATTAGGTAGTGAGTTGAAATTTATCAAGATGGTTTAGATTGCAGTGTGTTAACAGATGTGAGTGAAATAAAAATGTAAAAATATTTGCAGGAACTCAAAATTTTTTAAAAAATACATTAACACTTGATTAACACAAAAATGTAGCACGTCCATTTCCACTTCTAAATTCAAACTTCTACAGTTTTATTAACTCTCCCAGTTACAACTACTAGTTATGCACGATATTTCTTATCAATAAAAACAATAAAAACATAGTTTGCCGAAACACCACGTGTGAGAATAAACTGGAAGGTTTGGCAATGATGAATATACACAGTGATATAATATTACACCCATATGATATCCTATATAAATTAGCTATCATAACAAGAAAACTACCTATGATTATGTAAAGTATGTAAAGCAATTAAGTAATTAAAATATTTTTTGACTTATTAAATGTTTTAAATAAAGTACCAATAGCAAAATTATAAATATCTTTATGTTTACCTATTGTATAAATCTAAACCCTAACCCCTCCACCATTGAAAAGTTCTGGGTACGTCAATTCACAAAAAAAAAAAAGAATGGGACCTACCCTTTAGTGGTGCCGATCCTTACGTGTATGTATTGCGTATGTTATTGTTGATGGCTACATGGTGGACAGATATACTGGTAGTAGCAAAGGAGTAACTAAAAATTTCATCTGGGGGACAACCAATTATCAAAACATGTTTAGTGTTATTTATTAAGTGTAGGTATTTTATAATGTTTACATATGTCAATTTTTTTTATTTTATGATTTTTAATTACCTATAACTTACAAGGTTAATACAAAAAAAAAAAAATTACATTAAAACTATTCATGTAAAATTATACTGTTAAAAAATTATATGAAAAAATAAAAATGTTATAAGTTATAAACCGTTTAAATATTGGGTGATATATGGGTCAGTTTAAAATTTCGTTAAAAATTAATATATCTGTTAGACAGGAAGTAATTGCCCCCTGACAACCTCTTGGCTATGTTCTTGGGTACTAGGATATAAAAGTCATAAGCCGCACTTGGCTCTTATTTTCGGAGGACAAAAATTAATCACAATCTGCTGATCAATTTAAAAATTTCTCAAATTCAACTTCTCTATATATTATAAATTTTTACACCTAAATTTTACTTACTTACTATGTGTAAATGTTTTAATAATATTAAACTTAGGAGGGGGGCAAAATTATAAGTTTGCCCTCTCAATTTTTTTTTCTAGCGAGGTAACTTCCCCTTTGTGCCCCCCTAATGCCACCCATGGTAAAAGTTGTAATTCGGATTTTAGATTTAAAACTGATTCAAAATTGCAATTATAACTCAATGTACTGAACATTTATTGCAATTATACTCGGATTTTATTTTTATGCAATACTATAAAAAACAGACATCGCCAATGCTTACTTCATACAATATAAGTTGTATAATTATATTACTGTACTTACTTGTACAGAGACAAGTATAAGTACGTATCTTCTAATTTACCTTCAAAATAAGATACAACAATTATATAAATACAATTTTAAACAATATTCATTGTTGGGAATAGATAATGCAAAATTTATCTAGATAAAAAAAAGATATTTTCAAAAAATTTTATTTTTTGGTCAATATTTCATATTTGTAATAATATCTATGAAGACTTAATTATAATCATCATTATCAATAGGTACCTAGGTGCTTAATGTTTACTGTAGTAATGTTGTGTACCATTAAGCAATATTTATACATAATGTATAATATTTAATGATGGTTAATCACTAAAATGTTACACAAAAAAAAAAACAATGAAAATTGCTCTGTACGTATCAGGATGAATACAGAATACATAAGAAATTATTTTAAGTTGTTTTCCATATAATCTTAATTTGATGATTTTCATTATTCTATAAGTAGTTACGACTTTACAGGTTCCAAGAATGAAGTAATATCTACTCAACGTATGAGTTACATGTGTTTCCTAAAATCAAATACCTACTATATTTGGAACTTCCATGGAAAAATAAGAAATTAAGTTTAAAAATACCAGAAATATTTTGCCAACATGAAAATACAAACAAAATGTCATACCAAGAAATAATAATTACTTATTAATAATACACGATTATAAATACAAAATCCTTATATATAAAAGAAAGTAGGGTTAGTTACAGAATTTATAATTCAAGAACGACTGGACCGATTTTTATGATCTCTGATTTATTGGATTCGTTTCCGTACAAGAATAAAAATAACCCTAATCTTGGCAAGAATACAGACAATTATCTAAGTAAAAATTTTATCTTAGATATGTAATTAAATAACTTAGCGTTATTTATCTAGATAAGTTAAAAGATGACAACAAATCTATTTAGATAATTTATCTAGATAAGTCCCAACGCTGACAATATTAAATTTCAAATTATAAAATTTAAGCCATGCTAATTTATACCTAGATAATATGAAATGATCAACAATTTTATTTATGAAAATTTCACATTACGACATTACACTTATCATAGTATAAGCTTTATGGCTACCCTTAAAGTGAAATACACACCAAGATAACGAGCTATAAGGAGTTATTACCTTTTGCAGTGTTACATGAAGTATTAATAAGTGATAACTCAAGCTCAGATTTATATGCAAATGGATATTCTTCTACAATTCACCTTAAATAATTTTGTTTACAAATGTCGGTGTCTCAAACTGTATAGATTTCAATGGATAATTTTTGTTTTTGCTTATTTTGCATATTTGAGTAAAAATGACAATTAACTGCATATTTCAAAATAATTGCATAAAAATGCATATTTTAAAAATTATAAATAAAAAAATAAGATCCACAATTCGTTTTTCCATAATTCGAGTAGCTTCCTTCTTACTCGTTCTCTGAGGGTTGTTAAGAATTATAAATATTAATGTTTATTTGTAGTTTATCCTTATAGTACCCATTCAATCATAATACCCCCCTAACATCATCAAATACAATCAACATAGCTTTTAATTTTAACTTGCTCATTCGAGCTTTTTTCATATTTGATGATAAGTAAGTTTTCCAATATGTGTACTGCCACTTAGTTTCGGGATCATATTGGAAAATCCAAGTTTCATCGGAATTTATCGCCCTTCTCAACAAATTCACTTTCCATCCGTTCGAGAATGTCTGTGAAAATGTATTGCCTACTGTCTTTTTGTTCCTGAGAGATATTTTTAGGAAGCATTCTAGTGTAGACTTTTGTCATGATCAATTGATCACGCAAAATTTGTTAAATGATTTCCTTGTCAATATTAACTATTTTAACTATCATTCTAATACCCAGTCACCGATCTTTTCGTATGGTATCTTTGGTTTCTAAAATGTTATCGTCAGTTTTTGACGAGCATGGATGAAACCCACGTTGTTCGTCTTCAATTTCATTAGGATCTTCAAAAAATCGTTGTACCTATCAAAAACACGTGATCGTGACATAACAGCATTTCCATACACATTAGTCAAGAAACGTACATTTTCTGTAACATCTTGAACAATGTCATTACCCAAATATATTTATTATCTAAAACTACATGGAACATGGAGGTGCTTAAGCAAAATGTGAAACGTTCAAAATACAAGGAAGAATGGCACAGGCGAAACTACGGGTCAGGCCAGTCAGGCCATGGCCTGACCTAATACTAACAAAATATATATATATTATATTTTAATTATTATTTAGGCATTATAAATAATATATTTATACATGTAAAGGTATACATTTGTATGTTTCATATAATACTATAATATAATATAGTATATAGGTACAATTAGTCAGTAGCGCACGCGGGGGGGGGGGGTTGTAAACCTCCCTCCACCCGGAATTTCTTCCGATGTCTAGGTTAAAATTTACAAATTTTACAAGTTTGAAATATGAAGATATAGTATTGAATACCTATTATCATTGATTATAGAATAGTCTATTCTATTATCAATGCTATTATTTAAGTCAAAGTATATTACGGATTTGCATAATTTTGTTAATTGTAAAATGTGTTTACCATGACCTCCCCCGAAAAAAATCCTGTGTGCGCCACTGCAATTGGTACAAATAAGGATTAAAATAGAACATAATAAATCTATTCTATGTATTTGAATAATCTATTTTATCAGTTATTGTTTTATTATATTAGTTTTATTTGTTATTTAGACATTTGATATTTATTTTTATAATCATACTATAGGAAATAATAGTTAATTTTACGTAATAATACTATTTATATTTTTCATTTGGCTTGACCTAATAAAAGTTTCTAGTTTCGCCTACGAAGAATGGTATTGTTGAATTACTCTTTTAAACTTGAAACAAATATATCATTGATCTCTAAAGAACAATTCTAAGTGAGAGGATAATGTAACCAAATTTCTAAACAATGAAGGTTAAACTTTTAGTGTTCTAACTTTTATACAAAAAAATAATATAAAATTAAGGAAAATCGATAATATCAAGTGTCTATAAGTATTATACATTTCGTTAAAATATTTCGAAACTATTAAATGTGTTTAAAATGATAATATAAGTACTCAGTAAAGATTTCGAGTTTCTACGAATGATTCGTTTAAGATAAAAACTAAATAATTAATGTCGTTTTACTTTTATTGAAATTTGTTGATATGTGTGTTTTCGTCAAAATTAAATCTTGTTACATATATATAACTTTTTTGTGATTTTTTTTTTTTTATTACAAAGAAAATCGTATAAAAAATCTTGTATCCAATTTTCAAACCTTAACAAAAGTATAAAATTGACTTAAAGGTTTAAATAAAAAAAATGTAATAGTTTCGGTTATAGTGTTCTTGCAGTTTTTTTTTTTATTTTCTCAATTATTTGAAAAATTGTTAAATAAATTTAAAAAAAATAACCTACCTTTTCAATAAACCAACTAGAACCCATTTCCTATTTTTAACTTTTTATTTTGTGATCAGAGCAACTCTTTTATTTGAAATAGTGTACTCAGATACAAAAATAAAAAATTATAGTAAAGCAAACTTAATAAATAAATACACTCGTAGTTTCACTGAAAATCTAAAAATAAAAATAATTAGTTACTAGTACAATTAAACTATTCTTATATTATTTGTTTCAGTGTGTATATCTTTCTTCATCAGCTATTCATTTTTTCTTATCATATCAATCTGCATCATCTCATCGCCCGTCCAAAGTCCATGTCAAACAATTTTAAGTAGTAATAAGTACAGAAATACTTGATACTACTATAATATATTAAATAAATTTGTAAAGGTAATAGACTAATAATACAATTGAACTAGTAGAACAATTATACAACTGTATAGGTATTACATAAACACAACTATAATATTATAATATATTAAAAAAAATAAGAATATTTTCCACTAGTTTCCGATATAAATCAAAAAATAGTATTTTGATTGACAAGTATTATAATAAATATAAACCAATCAAAATTAATACCGGAGAAATTATAATTGTTAAAACTAGATATTAGATATAAAAATATAGTTTTCCAAAATGATCAATAAATATTTTTTGTTCATATTTTTAAAACGTATAAGTTGTTAAAGTATCACTTTTGTACACAGCACGATAGGCATTTTTAATTTAACTATGACAGAAGGTCAGATTACAAATTGATAGCAAATTAGTTTCACTTTCTTGAGTTACACTAATAATAGCTAACCTGTTGGTATATAGTAGTATATGTACACAGTGTCTCAGTATACGTTCTTGGTAAGTCATTAATCGTGTACTTATAAAACGACTTAAAGAGAAATGTGAAAATATAATTTGATCATTCAAGTTTTTTATTGATTACATTTATTTATATGATTCATTAATAATACTACAACCGAGCTCTGGTAATCAAAAAAGTATGTTAATTAATTTTTATCTATAGAAATAAATATATATATAAACTTTTTATACTTTATTAGTGTTTTGATATAAACTTTTTATATAAATTCAAAACTATTTGCTATGATATTAAATAATATAATTTTTTTTGTGAACTCTAAAATATTAAAAATCATGATGTTAGTGAAAATAAAAAATGTAATGCTATCATTTTTAAAATCAAATATATAAACAAAACAATGTTATTAAAGAATAAATATTAGTAATTTTATCTTTGTGAGGTTTATAAAAGAAACATAATTTATTTATATTCATTATCTCAGGAGAAATTGTTGCAATGGGTACGTTTTTGTAGGACAATGCATATTTATTTAATATATGCATTAACATATATTAAATTATATGTAATATATACATTGCTCAATTTAATTATGTAAATAAAACTAGTTTAACAAACAGAAAAGTATTTCTGCTTGCCATCATATTAACATACACAAACAAAAATGCCATGAATAAATTTAATATGTATACCCACGTTGTTTTTGTGTATTCAAATACATATAGGTAATGTGTTTTATGTATTATAACAATATGATCATCATTCGACTACACTTGGTGGATGTGATTATATGGAAACAATTCAGAACATATAGTACACATTTTATACCTACAGAGTTATAAATATTACAAAAACTACATGCATTAATATACTTTGAAATTAATGTTAACAGGTAGTTGCAGAGGTCATAAAAGTTATCTAGAAAATCAAAAATTAATTTCATTGTATCAAAAATGAATCTGTTGGTGAAATTGGTGACTGTTTTTGTCTTGACAGCGATCTTAATCATAGCAATTGTCATACATTTTAAAATGGAAGATAGTTTAGAAGACGAAAAATTTACAGGAATAGTACCCGGTAATCTACTGATTCCCTATAGTTTAGACGTGAGTATACTTAATTTAAATTATAAAAAAAAAAATGAATGTACCTAAATACATTATATCGAAACAATGATAATTTCACAATATAATTGATTATAAGCGTTATGCTACAAAATTTGATAAAAATGAGATAAACACAGATGCAAATATAGTAGGATACTCTAAGGATATAAAACATTTTATATGTAAATATAATATAATCATGATGATGACGAATTACCAAATGAAATTTGTATTAGAGCAAATTTCAGGGGAAAATGTATTTTTTAATAAAATTAGCCAAAAACGTTGTTTTCCCAAATCTCAATGACTATTTGCATCAACGGAAAAATCTATAATATTTGAAAGATATTTATTCGGGTACGGGAGTGAAAAGTCTATATGATCGATACCATGTACCTAGGGAGTCTAACTATTAAAACTAAGGGTGGTTGTAGAAAATTGAAGTGATATAATTTTTAAGTATATCCTTCGCTATTACATTTAGGTAAGTGAAGTGGGATGACATCTGAGTATAGAATATTTAACAGAAATAGTCGCAGACAATTTTCTTTTGTGTTACGCGTGGTACACAAATTAGGCCAGGAAAGATTGAAACCTAGATGAAGTTAATTTATTTTCAAATCATTGAGTTAGAAGGGTTGAGAGACTTATGAAAAATATTAGTTGTAAATTACGGTTATTTAGAAGTTTGAATAAAATGTAGAAAAATAATTATTTGCAGACGTATTATAAAGATTGATTTTTAAATTCTGTACCCCGGAGGTAAAGGAAACCATGTCCATTTTTGAAGAAATTTAGTAAGCTTCAGGTCTTTGTACATTTTTCACTCTATATAAAGGTATAAGGCACTACGGCAAGTTATCAAAAGTAACGGAAATAAGGAGCAATAAAGTAATTCAAATTGGACACAAAAAAAAAAAATATTTTTAGATGAAAATAAACGAAAATTTAACTCCCTGTAAAATTACTATTTTGTGACATGGTTTATTTTACCTCCGGGGTACAGAATTTATGACCTCGACCGATATAATTCATATATAAACATATTTTATCGTTAATTAATTTCTTCCAATGATCCATTGGTTTTAGCTGGTTGAACTGAAATAAACAAATGCACATCGATTAATACGAATTTTTATTAAATATTAACATTTGGAATAATTTACAGTGGATATAATTACAGCCATGTTACAATAGCTTAAAAATGAACGGAGGAAAATAATTGATCAACATTTTATCTAGATAATTATTCTAATAATTATTATTTGAATACATTTGTATTATAATGATTGTGAAAAATGAATTCTAATAATAATTTATTCTAATATAATTGTATTTAATTAGTGACCAGAAGTGTATTTCATAACCTTTTTAGGTTAAATACTTAAATCTTGACTATTTTTATTTATAGATGGTTTTATCGTTTGAATATACTTGATAAATTACAGCATGGATTTATTACATTATTATAATATTATATTATTTAATTTATGTATGATTATAGTAAATGCCTTCGATATCTATGAATGACTCACTACGTAACGTGTGAATAAAACAAATTTTCTATATAAGTGTTCATGGGCGCAACTAGAGATGTCCCATTGAAAAAGTTCGCGGTTAATGTTCCTGGGAAAAGTTATTTTCCCGGGAATTTTCTTTTAAACTACTTTTTCAACTTTCTCCCAATATAAAGATTATTATTTTTACATATTATGTATCAAATTATTTTGTATAGAAAGACTGGTGTCTTGGTGTATCGTTAATATATCATTACTAATATAACTTGATTTGTACTTAAAAATAGTTTAAAAATACAGTATTAAAATATTTGGTATTAATTGTATTATGTTTTAATTTAAGTTTGAGAAATTATTCAGAAGTTAAAATAATATTATGTGGTTTATTGTTATTAATATTTTTCTTGTTATTTAATTTGTATAGTTACAAACAACAAAAAAAAATAAAATATTTTTGAACTTCATATTAGTATAGAATTTTAGTTTTATTATTTTAAAACGTCATGTGTAATCAATAAGAAAAATAATTTCATTAAAACAAATATTTCCTGCTTTTTTTCTGACATGAGGAGTAATTTCCGGAAACTTTTCCCGGACATGTAAAATATATAAGTAAAATCAAGAGATTTTACTTTCTCGGAAAAGTACCCATTCCTAGACACAACTATAAATATGAATAAAAAAAAACTGGAGCATGAAATTTGAATTCAGGGGTGCTAAAAACCCTCTTGCGCCCGCCCCCCTAGTTGCGCCTATGGAAGTGTTTAGTCATGATAAGATTTAAATCCATAGAGCAGCTAAAACACCCTCTAAATATGCTATGTATAAACCTAACGAGTACAATTAACTTCGAGTAGAGAGCACATACAAGATTTATAACCACTGTTATTTTCTATATAAGAACTCTTTACGTAGTATTTTAATAATTTATATTAAACTTTCAATCAAAATTAAGAACTTACGCTCTGCAGTATTTAAGACAAACAAAATAATAACAACCAACAAACAAATTTAATGACGTGTCCAGGAAGGGAGTTTGATTGGTTATAACTAGGGGTGGGCATGAAATCCGAATATCTGGATTAACCGAATATCCGGATATCCAAAGCCGGATTTGAATCAAATTCTTATCTAGATTTCTCGAATTATCCGGATTTATGGATTTACTTTTTATGTGACTTCAGACTTACAAATATTTTTAATGTATGGTAAAATAAATTATTTTATTATAATGAAAATTTAACAAAATGTTATATTATTAAAATATTATTAATATATAAAAATGATTCATTGAACAGCAAAATCGAATTGAATAATCCGGATAATCCGTGAAATCCGGATTTACTAAATCCGGATTTGACAAATCCGAATAATTCGGATTTTTTAAATCCGGATATGCCCACTACTAGTTATAATCCCCGTCCCCAAATGTCTTTTATTTTGTTAGATATACAATAATTTTAAAATCTAGGTATAATATCATATCATGTCATCATCTAATAATTTTCACAGCTTCAACAAACTAAATGATAACAATGACCTAAAAAGTCTAAAAAATGCTTTATCAAAATATTAATTTAAATATTAATTTACATTAAATCATTTTATTTTTGTATTAATCATTTAAAAAAAAAAAAAATGTTTGTTTAACATGTAAAATTATAAAAATGTACATAACATTGTATATCAAATATAAAAAATTTGTAAACATTTTAATTTGACAAATCGTATCAACAAAATTTATAGACTCTGTTAATGGTAATTCATTCATTAATGTTAATACTATGTTTATATTTGAATGAAGTTAATTTTTTTAGACATAATTCCAGAAATAGGTCACGAATAAGAATACCTATTAGAATAATAATGATTAATAATAATTAGAAAGCATCTTGTACAGTGCCGCATTAAACATTTATGGGCCCTTATGCAATGAAAATGTTGAGCCCTACAATATTATTTTTTACATACATCTTCTACATCGCTATCCAGTAATTGAAATAAACAGATTTAATAATAACCAACTATTATTAATAAATAAAATCGTGTTTATTACATTTTTTTTATTTGCTGGATAAATGAATTAACTATTATATTGTTTCTATTTTTTTCAAAACAATTTTATTATTGTTACCTAATTGTTGTAATACCTACAACTTAATATATTATTATTTTTTGTTTATATTTTTTATTTTTTTTTTTTTATTATATTTCATAATGGCTTTTGTCCTGTAAATTCGTAAATAAAATACACGTATTATCGAAAAAAAAAATATATAGTTTTCCGTTTTCACAGGGCCCCTTAAATGAGTGAGACCCTAAGGCGGGTGTCTACTCCGTCTAATGGGTAATCCGGCATTGATCTTGTAAGACATTCCAAAAAAAAGATGTAAATACATTGAAATCCATCCCTTATTATCTCTGTAATTGATATGATATCAATTCTTCATGATATCACAGAATAAAGAAATTTATTATTATTTTGTTATTTTTTTTTTAAATTTACTCTAGTGATATTCTCTATTTCAATGATAGTGAAATAGTTATGGATTATTACTATTTTCAATTTTGTTTAAAATGTTCTTATTCGAGCAATTGCTGACCTACTTAGTGGGTACTTGTTGCCAATAATTAACTATATTTTCATTCAAGATTTTCTTAACATTAATTTAATATTATAAATTATTATAATATATACTTTAACATACATTTTTTTTCAACTAATCGTAAAATTATGGATGTAAGTTTTGATTTGATTATTATTATAATGTTGTGCTTGGTTGGTTTTCTATAGTCAAGTTTCATTTGTTTTTGAGTATAGTTTCTAATAATTTGTTATTTTAATATTATAGTCTATAATTGCAGCCAAACCTTGGAAGTCTACTCATCGCTTATCTCCTTACATTCACCCTAAGCAGTACTTCATTAAATTGCACCCAAATCTTGAACAAGGTACATTTGTTGGTTCTGTCGATATTACATTGGTATTGGACACTCCCCAAAGTTACATTAAACTACACTCAAAAGGACTGAACATCAAAGAATCCAAGTTAAATTCAAGTATTGTAACAGCATTTTCATATCCTGAACATGAATTTTGGGTTGTGGTGCCTAATTCAGAATTGAATGCTGGAGAACATAAATTACAATTAAAATTTGAGGGCAGTTTATTAAATAAAATAATTGGATTTTATCGTAGTAGTTATACTGATATAAAAAGTAATGAAAAGCATTTTATTGCTACTTCAAAGTTTGAACCAACATATGCACGATTGGCATTTCCGTGTTTTGATGAACCGCAGTTGAAATCTAAATTTAAAATCAGTCTTGTGCGGCCATCTGGTAACAACTACATTGCATTGTCGAATATGAACCAAGAAGTTAGTTATAAAAACTTAAATTTAAATTATGTTTATAATTAACTAAGGTTAATTATAATTTATGTTTTAGTCTGAAGAGCTCAACATTCCTTCTAAGGGATTGACTACTGTTCATTTTGAAAATACTGTTCCTATGTCTACATACTTAGCATGCTTCATTGTATGTGATTTTCAATCACTTGAACCACTGAAATCAGATCAAGGATTTTTATTAACAGTTTATGCCAGACGTGGTCAATCTGAAAATATGAAGTATGCTCAATTTGTAGGTCTTAAGTCAATTAACTTTTACGTAAATTATTTTGGTATTCAATATCCATTACCAAAATTAGGTATGTCTCTTTTATTTTTATGGACTCTTATTACTGAATTTAAAATATATTTAATTTAGATCTCATAGCGATCCCAGATTTTGTTTCTGGTGCTATGGAACACTGGGGTTTAGTGACTTTTCGTGAAACAAGAGTTTTGTATAAAGAAGGAATAAGTTCTATTAATGATAAAGAAAGCGTTGCTTTGACTGTTGCTCATGAATTGGCTCACATGTGGTTTGGAAATCTTGGTATTTAAATTAAATTTACATTTTTAATAAATTATAACCAATACTCAATAATTATTACTATATTAAGATTGAATGTGTTTTTTTTTTTTTTTTATTAACTTATTTAATTCTAACCCACAAAATGTAACAATTCATATAAAAAGTTATAACTATGTTTTTTCAGCTACTATGAAATGGTGGAATGATTTATGGCTTAATGAAGGATTTGCTTCTTACATGCAATTCAAAGCTTTAAATGTTGTTCATCCTGAGTGGGATATTGTAAATTTACTTTTTTATAATTTACAAGTTTTAGTAATCTCTTATTTTAAATAATATTATTTTTAGGATACTTTATTCCTAATTAAAAGTCTTCAACTAGTACAAAAAATAGATAAGCAACTTAGTTCACATGCTATTGTGGAAAATGTTTCTCATCCAGATCAAATAACTGAAATTTTTGATTCCATATCATACAACAAAGCAAGTTTAATAATATTATGAAACATATAATTATATTTCTTTTGTTTTATATTAGCCATTTGTTCACTTTAATTTCTAGGGTTCTTCTATAATACGAATGTTAGAAGGAATGTTGGGTGAAGAGATTTTCAAAAGTGGTGTAAGTACGTACTTAAAACGGTTTGAATTTAGCAATGCTGAGACTGATGATTTGTGGGCTGAATTACAAAAAGCAACTCAGAATACAATTAATGTTAAAAAGGTATACATATATTTATGTAAAAAAAAAAAAGTTAAAAATGTTATTCTTACTTAAAGTTAGAATTTTATTAACATAACAATCTAAAACAATATTTATTTTAAAATAAATTAGGTAATGGACACATGGACTTGTCAAGCAGGTTTTCCTGTAGTAACTCTTACACGAAATGGAAGTGAACTGACAATGAAACAGCAAAGATTTTTAGCAAATCCAAATGCTGAATATTTGTCCGAATCATCTCCATACAATTACAAATGGGAAATACCAATCACTTACATTACTTCAAACAACAAAACTGTAAATAAACTTTGGTTTTCTAAAGATCAGAATAAAAGTAAGCATCATATCTTGTTGAATACTGAAATTTAAATTAATAAATATGTTTATTTAAAAGTTACGGTAGATATTCCTAATGCAGAATGGATAAAATTAAATTATAGGCAGACTGGATATTACATAGTCAATTATTCAGAAAGTGACTGGTCTCTACTTAGCAGTTTATTAAAAAATGATATTGATGTAAGAATTGCATTTTAGTTTTTTAATACTATTTACAATAAAAACAATTAAACAATTTAAAGGCATTGAGCGCTGCAGATCGTTCAAATCTTATACATGATGCTTTTAATTTGGCAGAAGCTAATCTTTTATCATATAGCACAGCTTTGAACATGACAAAATATTTAGTTTCTGAATATCATTATGTTCCTTGGTATGTAACTTCTTCAAAATTAATTGAATTAAGAAATAAGTTGTATCATCGAGAAGTACGATACAATATAGAGGTAAGATATCAAATCAGATTATTAATAATAATAATTACTACATATAATTTATGAAATTTAAGAAATATATGCAAAAATTAATGGGAAGTATCAATGAAGATTTTTGGATTGAATCAATCGAGAGAAACTTTTTGCAACGTAGACTTCGAAGTATAATACTTAAATTTGGATGTATTAGTGATTTAGCAAGCGTTCGAACAAAAGTTTATGAATTGTTCAAAACATTTTTGGATAATAAAATCAAACCAAATTCTGATATTAGATCTTCAGTTTATTATTATGGTACATTAAATTTTAAATTTGTTTTAATGTTTATAGTAGTTGTAACACAGAATATATTGATTTATTTAATATAATCTGTAGTTCTATTTATATCAAAAATACTATAATAATTTCATTAAAAATAAATCAATTTTAATGCTCATATTTATGCTATATTAAATAATATTAAAAAAATATAATTGCAATATATTTTCTAGGAATACTTAATAGTAATGTTAGCGAATGGGAAAAAGTATGGAATTTATATTTAAACGAACAAGAACCTCAAGAAAAAGTATTGCTCATAAAAGCATTGACTGCTTCAAAAGATCCACAAATATTAACTAGGTGAATTTAGTGCTTAATTTTAAATAAATGCAATAAAATAACTTTTATTGACTTTTAGATTATTAGAATATTCAAAAAACGAAAGCTATGTACGTTCACAAGATTACATCAGTGTTTTAATGTATATTGGCAACAATCACATAGGATCTTCATTGGTCTGGGACTTTGTGAGGTATTTATTCATATTTTTAGTTAATACCCAATATATATATAAGAATGATATTAATTAATTTTGATAAATTAACAATTAAAATTCTAGAAATGAATGGCAGTACTTAGTAGATCGTTTTAGTCTTAATGACCGTACATTGGGAAAACTCATTCCCATAATTTGTTCAAGTTTTAATACACAAGAACGTCTCAAAGAAGTAAATTTAATTTTTTTATAACCAATTATAATTTTCAATGAATATGTTGTGTTTTAACTTTTATTAGTGTCATATTATTTCTGTATTTATTTAAGTTTATGCATAACATTTTAGATGGAAGAATTCTTCAGTAAGTATTCAGAAGCCGGTGCTGGAAAAGCCGGTCGAAAAACTGCACTTGAAACTGTATCTAATAATATCAAATGGTTAGAACTTCATGAAACTTTAATTAATAATTGGTTAATAGCTAATTCTAATTAATTTTTTAAAGAAGATTGATTGATTTATTTATGTTTGAAATTCCATTAATTATTTTACAGGCCACAGGGTAATAATTATTATATATTAACATTGTTCACTTGAATCAATTTATACAAATTATTATTTAAACAGATTTATAAAATATATACATTTTTTTTACATTTATATTTGTTTGTTAATTATAGTACACAAATTAAATGTTAAGTACGCAAGAATTTGATATTTCCATTATCAACATAAGAAAATTAAATCACGTTTTATGAAAAGATAAAATGGCTAAATGTTCTTAATTTAAAAAAATTATAAAATTTGTGGGGCTCTAGCTTATAATTTCTATCTAATAATCAAAAATGTAACTTTTAAAAAATAATAGTACATACTTACCTAACTCTAGTAATAATATATTATTTTTATTTTAATACTTTTTAGCATAAAAATTATTGAAATGTAACCATATGAATAGTAAATAAATACTTAAAACCTCAAGGTGACTCAATAACAATGAAAAAGTGCTTAGATCTGTTATTCATTTTTCTTTTACACACTTATTATTTGGTTATATTTGTAGATACTTGTACTTAACAGTTAATGATATAAAGATTTTTTGTAATGTAAGTTTGGATTGAAAAAGTCAAGATAACTGGTACATTTGTCACTTACAATAGTATTCACAGAATAAATCAATATTTTATCAACATTATAAATAGTCAGTGGACTTATATATTAAAAAAAAATAATGTATTTAAATTGAATTATTATAATTAAGATACAATGTTTTACAAACTTCTGAAAGATCAAGATCGGAAACTGTTGGTATACCTCCAGGTAGAACTTCATTAACTAACGGTCGAGCAAATGAATCTGTTAATATACGAGGATCATTCATTGGAGGAACAAGCAGCATATTAATGGCTGGGTATAAAAGTGTAATGACTATGATGAGACAACATACCCACACAGGTATGGCTATGGCCCAATACTTCTGAGGAAGGTATGTTAGACCAATAACTGTCAACCAATGACTTGGTATGAATGCCCATAATAAATAAACAACAAATGCTGTTTTAGAAGCTAAATACAAGGCAAATCCATAATTAGCTCGACTTTCAGTTGGTGATGGTGTGTTTTGACGAGGAGTTTCAAAAGTGATCATAGTCAACTGATGGATTTTTCAGTTCAAATTTTTTTACTACTTCAGATAAAAGTATAAAAATATCCAATAAGCCGTTTGAACTTGCACGCAAAGATTGAAGTTGCGTAGATTGAAGTTTTCTAAAAAAAAAAAATGTTTCAAAATATAAATAGGATTTTATGAATAAAAAATCACTGTAAAACTAAATTATTATACTTAGATAAACTTACACAATTACAAACTGACCATCAACTTCACATATTTTTTTAACAATACTACTAGGCTCTTTTTCTACTCTAATAGCGTGATAAATAGCTTTGGCTTGATGATGAGTAATACCATCAAATTTAAGAGTACTGAGATATAACTATTTAGGAAAAAATTAATATTTAACACTAACAAATATAAACATATATAATACAATTATTGCTATATATTAAAAATATATCTACATTGAGTTAAATAACAAATTAATCAAACAATATTTCTTTTTAAAGCATGTTCAAAGAAATAATTTTTTTCGACAAAACACTTTTTACCAAGGGTCTTTAAATGTGGATCAATAACATTGTGTGGAGCATTAATTATTTCATTTACTTTTTGACTGCACCGTTCACGGATAATATTACTAAATAAATTGCTAAAAATTAATTCCGTAGGATATTGTCGGGTATTAGAATGAGACAAATTTTGTGAAACTCTATGTAACACAGCAATCAAAGCAAATAAATCCATAGCAGTACTATTAGCTCTTTCAAGTATCATTTGATAGTAAAAAGTGTCAGGGCCAAGATTGATAAACATACTTTGAACACCAAATTGCATTCTGCTCAAGCAATATTCTACATCCAAGGCTTGTTTTTTTAATGTTGGATGCATGTAGTTTTCAACATAATGATTTAATTTTGGTTTATCTTTTAACGATCGTTGAATTCTTAAAATATGACTTAGTGTATATTTGGGAAACATTAATGGATTTCTTAATTGTCTTACATCTTCTGCCATAAATTGACCAGCATATTGAATACCAAGTAGAGCACCAACAATCGATAGTAAATTTGATCTACCTTCAAACAACAATGAGTCTTCAATATATTTATATGATTTTTTAGAAAATCCCAATTCGTTTAACAAATTTAAACAGTTACGAGTAGTGTCATTTATAAATAAACGTGCAAGAATTGGTTCATAATCACATTGCGAGTCATAGGAGTCAAAAATCAAACTAGTGAACTTCAAAACACAATCCATTGTATATATATGGCTATTTAATTTACCTAATTTGTTAAGATTAGATTGATCATGGGTATTGACATTTTGAGAAGCGTTATAGATGATATTCTTTAATTCTCCCAATGTAGCAGAAGATGATTCTAATAAATCTGCACAGAACAATAATTGATAAACCATTAAACCTTCATTTTCTTGTCCTATATAACAATCAGCTTGAACATTGTTAAATGAAACACTTGAGTTATCACCATCATCAATAATCTTAATGCCATTGTTTGGAGAATTTTTAACCAAAAATACTGTGAAAAAATTGGAACCACTTTCTGGTCGGTTACATTCATCCATAGTTTTAGCAAATACTAAGAAAATATTGGCCTGTTTTCCATTAACTACCCATTGCTTTGAACCATTTATTACCCATTTTCCATTTTTATAGGAAGCAGTAGTTGTGGTGTTTTGAACATCATATCCATGTTCACTTTCATAAACACAAGGTGATGCAATTAACTCACCAGATGCTAATTGTGGTAAATAGGTTTTCTTTTGATCATCTGTTCCAAAAGTATTAATAGACTTCACAACATTACCATGGGCTAGGTAGGCTTTACTGTTTGTAAGTCCAATACTTTTATAAGCTTCTGAAATGGATGCAGCAGATAGTTCTAAACCTCCAAATACTTTAGGCACACTGACACCAAGAAGTTTATCGATTTTCGGTACACTGATATCGTTGATACTTTTGGTAAATGCATCTTTTACAAAATTTCCTACAAAAAAGCTTTTCGCAAACGAGGGTTTTTTTTTCTTGTTTGTAAACGAAGAAGGATGACTGGTAGCAGCAGCAGCAACAGCTTGCGAGTAATTGCGACAAACAAAGCCAAACTTAAATCTATAAGACAACATGATTGTAATTAAAATTAACTTATGTCACTAAATTAAGGATACACGGTATGAAGGGTTTCTTGAACAGGACTTTCGGTGGACATAATTATAAAACGAACGATTTTGTATAATTGCTTTCGGCCGTTGCATAGCCGTACGGTAATACGGCACTACAGACGGTAATTCTTTCGAAGATAATTTCATTAGAATTTTGTTAGGTTAAATTGTTAACCATTATCTTTCCATTTTGTTTTGTTCACATTGCGATTATAGTACATTGCTCTGTGGTTTAATCTATTCTCTGGTATAACATTCTAAAACTGTGATATTATGTAGTAACAGCACAAATAACATGATAACGTTTCATTTCATGTTATCAGTAATACAAAGATACCATAGATGTTATGTATACATAAAGGTACGTTTATAAAGTGTACCACAGCATAATCTATTGACAGTTGTTCTTTAAAATGTCATAATATTTTAGATCATATTTAACAAATTGACAGTTGACATTGCCATTAGGTTCTCTGTAATTTTAAATTAAGTTATTCATCAGTATTTATAAAATAATAATAATAACTAATAATCAATTTATATCATAAATGTGTGCGTAAATCAAGGCGATAACATACAACTTTATTTTAAAACTTATTTTTATTATTATATTTAGATTGAATAATAGGATATGTAATAACTAATGTACACAGTTAACGCAAATTTCAAAATCATAATTATGCTTATTAAATAGATTTACTGTTCACATAAAAATGCAACAATTTCAAAAAGATTTTAGTTCTATTATTTTAGATGAAATAGCACTTGAAGGATTAGATGGAATTACTATTGAAGGTAAAACTAGTACTTAAACATTTCATTCAATCACTATATTATACATTTTGTTTTCTAGCTTTATGCAAGAGGTTGTTGAACAATTTTGATTGGCCACTGAAACCTATAGACGATTCAGTTAAAAAAATTATTTGGTCATTTGTAGTTTGTCTGAAAGATGTGGAATTTTATAGACTTAAAACGCCTAGAGATCCTTTAATAATATTTAATCGATATGATTATATTCACAGCGAATTTGGTTCACTATATGAGCCGGTATGTTATATTTTTTATTTTTACTTTTATTTTAAACATTTTATAATTTGAGTTGGTTTTCAGAAAAATATACCTAAAGATATTTATCCAAACCATCCTGTTGAAGATGGCCTTATTATGGGATCATGTAAAGATTATTTCACAAGGTTCAATTTGGGATCATTTCCTAGAAAGATATCGGTGGAAGAAGCAGAAAAACGGTTTTAAATTATTTATGTTTTATTTAGAAACATTTATTTAAGGCTGTTTTATTTTTAAGGTGGGGCAGATGCTTAGTTATAGTAGCCAAACAGGAAGTACGCACTAAAATTTTAATACCAGAAGATAAACGTACCAATACATATATATCAATACGTTATTATTTAATATTGGAAAGAATCGGCCGTTCACGATATTTGGGAGAAGGTTCTTTTGGTACAAATTCATTGAGGACTGTTTTTCCTGATTCCAAAGTATTATCTTATATAAGAAATCGATTATGTGATTATGGTTTGATTAAAAATCAAGTATATTATAATTACTTAAATATTATCAATTAAGTATTACATTTTTATTTTATGATTTTATGAAAGGCTCTTGCTTTTGCCGGAGGCAGTAATCAAGTGGCAAACCGTATTGTTATTTCGAGTTTGGAAAAATTCTTTGTTAAAAGACAAACTACTATTGATGTCATAGTATCAAAAATAGTAGATTATTTAAAAACACAACCAAATTCATTAGCTTCATATGATCAAATAAAAGCTGTATGCAATATCAAATTATCAAAAACATTTAAACAACCTCAGGTCAAAAAATGTTGTGATACTAACGTAGTATGTAAATTAAAACTAATATATACTTATGGTAATAAATGTAAATATATTACAAAATAACTGCTATTTAAGATTCTCAAATATCGTGATTTGTATCCAAATGCAACTGAAAGTGAATATTTATATAAAAAGGAACCTAGAAAAGAAAAACTTATAAGATGTATCAAGTTAAAGGATTTGGTGGATAAAGACAATTCTGAAAAAGAACATGAAAAAAAAATTGTTGTTGAAGGTGGTGTTTTTAATTTTTAATTGTATTTATTGAACAGAGTAGGTTGTAGTATAATATTTAATAACTATTAATGTTAATATTTATTTTATACAAGTAAAAAAACAATAAAACTCAAGATTTTAAAAAATAAACTTTGGAAGTAAAATATTATTTATAAATTTTTTTATTTTTAGGTCCTTCAGGTCGTGAATTTAAACAAGATTGTTCATACGAACGACAAATATTAAGATGGATTGAGAAACATGGTGTTAAAGGCGTAACACTTTCTGAAATATCTCGCGCTTTTAGATTTACTACTGATGGTAGTGCAGAAGGTGTTTTAAAAAAGCTAACAAGCTTAAATTATTTAACTAAAAGTTATTGTGATCGAGGTCGAACAAAAGTTTTTAGGTATTTGAAATAATGATGAAAATTGAAAAAAATAAACAAATTTTCAATTAATACATATACATTTTTCAGTTATATTGCTAATAGCTGTAACAATGTGCACGATAATGATATTGAAATGGAAGATTTGTCAACACTAAAAAAAGAAAATGTAGATATAGAAAAAGATTTTATTGCGGAAAATAATTTATTGACAAATAGTACTTTGAATGCAATAGAAAATATATCTATTGAAAATTCAAATAAGCCAGCTCAATCAAATTTAGACTATGAAAATCATGATTCCAGTCAAATTTTAGAAACTTCTGAAAATGTAGAGTCAATTAATCAAACTTTAAATAAAACATTGATTAACATTCCACCTCAAGTATGTATTTTTTTAATTAACATATTTCTGATGTATTAATTTTCAATATCATATTAAGCATAATTAAAATTTTTTTATATAGTGTAATCTTTTCTACATATTAATTATATTGTATAATAATTATGATAAGCATTATCTCTTTTAAATGTACTTTTATTGTTAAACAGAAAGAAAATAATAAACAATGTGATATCGAACATGCAGTTACACGAGTAATGGAACTGGAGTATTGTAAATCTGTTTATGAAAATGCTAGGTAAAAAAATTATTTTATTTATTTTAAAAACTTATGAAAATAGTACACATTATTATTAATTTTTAATTTTTATAATTACAGACAATCAATTAGTTTGACCGATAGGTTTTACTTTAGACGAAATATCATATTCAAAATGTTTTTAACTGAAAATTTAATTAGCTTACTTAATATAAAAAAAGTAAATCAATATTAAAAAATGATAATTATAATATTTTAAAATTTAAAAATGTTAATTAATAATATTTTTTTCAGACTATTATTGAAACAGAAAAAAAAAATCCAAAGTTCATTGGAACTCTTGATATTAAGACATTAGTTAAGATTATTGGTTATTTTGAAAAAAAGAAAAAACTTAAATCTGTTCAGTATCGAGTTACTTATGAAACCAAAACTGTGAATTATTCATTTGTAGGAACTCCTAGTGTTGATTTCAGTGAGTAAAAAGTGTGAGAAGATATGTGTTTTTTAGAATAATTGTACTTTAAGCAATAGCTATATATTTTAATTATAATATTATTTTTATATAAATAAGACTTCATTATTCAACTTTTTCCAATATCTCAAAGCCTAATAGAAATTATATTTTTTTTTTCAAACACACAGTTTTTGAAGTATTAACAATATGAGAAAAGTTAAAAAAAATAATTTAAATTTAATTATTTCTTGATAAGCAATTGTAATTAAAATATAACTTATTCTTGTAATCGATAATTAATTTTTTTTAGAAATTTTTATATTTTGTTTAGCAAATCCAGACACTATATCATACATGAATAGTTTTTTGAATAGATTTAATAATTCAATGAAAGCAACTAAGGCTAACAAGAAATGGAATTTAGTGGTTCAGAAATCACCAGAACCAAAAATTGTAATTTCTATAGCCTTCAATATTTTAATTAGTTATTAAAATAATGTGTATGTTATTTTTAGAACATATCAGAACTGAAGCTTCCTAGGTTTATGAAAATGAGATCATTGCATGAATACCTGTATTATTTAGTATATGATCATCCTGGTGATAGTTTATTAAATGCTTGCGATGAAACTGAAGCAATGGTTTCTAGATATAGAAGTGATATAAGTAATGGTGAAAATGCTCAATTACCAAAAGTTTACTATCCAAGTGTTAGTTGGAAAATGTTTGTTCCACCATTGCCAAAATATCCAAGTAAACATTTTTTTATGTTGAAATTTTAGTTTTAATCATTTATGGTTTGAAGTATACCAGTTACAATTATTTTATTAATAAGAATATGTATACAATTTGATATTCCTCTATTTTTTTTTCTATCCATATTTAACTCTTTTTATATCAACTTATAACATAAATTATTGTTCATTTTGACTAAATAGAAATTAATATTTTATTGTGCTACTCATAAATTTAATTTGTCTTAAATAAGTTTTACTGGCTATTCCAGAATATCCAGATGGATGGTTTTTTGTAAGTGATATTATTCATCACATGCCGTTAGAACTGATGCTAAAAATTGTTAATTTCAATAAATCTAAAGTCAATCTAGACAAACTTGTCAATTATGCTACTCATCCTGTATTCAAATATTTACCCCTAATGACACTTTCATCTGAAGTTCTTTCTATGCTATCTCAAGGATTAAAAAAGTAACTCATACACATACATATATATATATAATATAAATAAAATAATCAAGAAATAATTAGTTATGTTTTTTAAATTATTAGACACATTCGAAATACTTTGAATGTTTTACGGCTACTCTGTACAATTGGATTAATACAATTTGGTGAGAAAACAAACAAAGACACAGAATTAGTAAATATCATAAAAATATTAAATGAAAAAATATTCATTTTACTATGTACATTTTTTTCTACTGTTTTTTTTTTAGATTTTTGCTTACTTAAATAGACGAGCTAGTCTTTTTAACACTGTGAGAAGCAATCCAGGCTACTATAGAATATCCGATATGGAGTATGAACAACGCTTTTATGAGTTTTTTAGTAACTATGAGTTGGAAACATTTTGGTTGGATACTTGGTATTTTTGCACAAATACACCATTAGGTAAGTTAAGAAACATATATTCAACCATGATTAAGAATTAAATATTAATAATTATAACTTATAAAGGCTATAGAATGTCCAATGTGTCAAATAAGCCTAAACGTCGAGAGATTATTGAAAGAAGTAAAATATCAATTGAAGAAGCATGTGTTTCTAGAGATGTACTTGAAGCAGTGAATCGAGATGATGGGAAAATACCTGGTGATAATAAGGGAGCTGCAGGATTTGATAGTCATTTATTTGCGTAAGTTTTTGAGTAAAATATAACATATAATTTAATATTTTATATAATAATAATCTATTTTACTCAAATCCAAATAATTTTCTACCTGAATCTTTAAATTTTTATTTGTTAGTTTATTTCCACTTACCCAAATGAAAGATAATTTATTTTCAAAGAAACTAGTTAATAATTTTGTATATAAATATTCATAGAAAATCAAATTCAAATTTGTAATATTTTTTGTATAACAAATATTTTAAAATATGTTTTTCTCGGGTTAAATTTCCATTTATTTTAATTAAAAAAAAAAACTAACTTTTTTTTAATATTTTTTAAATTTTTTTTAATAGGCACCTTGCTCGAAATTGGAGTATAAAAAAAAATTCATCTTCTATATCACATGCAAGAAGAAAAACCAAATTAAATCTTTTGCTGATGCAAAGAGTAAAAAAACATAATAGTCGGAAAAAAAATGAAAAGAAAAAAACTGAAGTAACTAAAAATCAGTATAAAATGTAAGTACTCAAATTGTATGTAAAATATTCGTTATGACCTAAAGTTATTAATTCAAAAAATATAGGAGATTTAAATGGACCCCTGTTGAAGATCAACTCCTTTTGTTTTGGAAATTGGGTACAATGGTTATAAAACAAGTTAAATCACAAGCATATCTTTCTTATGGTATAAAAGACATAATCAGATCAATACTCGGAAAAGTTTGTAAACGTTGACTTATTAAAACCTTTAAATTCTTTAGTGTTAAATGTATGTTGGTGTTAATACATAGGTTAAATCATAGAAATATTCTATATTTACATTTTTAACATATTTAGTTAGACATTTCAGTACATATGCCTACGTTATGTAACAGGTGCTCCCTAGTAGATCACTTATTATGGTTCACTTTATAAAGACTTTTATAAGCATTCCAATTTTAAATAAACTTGTGACATTCATCTACAAATAGACCCACGAAAATTATAGTACCTAATCAAATTTTATTATAACTAATCTCTCAAAAAAATATGTTGAGTAATCTAATTAGGTGTGGGTCTTAAAGGAACTAGTGTAGGAACTTGCTCTTTCTTTAAAATAATAAATTATCCACCTTTGGGCTATTGCCAATGAGTAACTTCACCCTCCTACTTTAAATTCTTCTTATAGTTATTTTCATTATAATTATCCAATTTATTTATTGTGTTTCCTGCATTTACAGATTATAAATAAACTTTTGATTTTAATAAAAATAAAAAATACATATTTAGTAACTAAAATCAGATTAATTAATTTACCATTCAATTTGTATTTTAACCTTAATTCCATTATACATTTAAGTATTAGTAGCATAGTTTGATTAAATATACGAATTTAAATAAATATGTATTATCAGAACAGTGAATCAATACTTTTATTCAAATATTATCACTTATAAAGATTTGAAAGCTAATTTATCACCCTCTTTCATATGAAAAAAAAAAATTTCCAAACAAATATTTTTATATAACAAAATTAAAATTGAAGTGACAAATGTATTCATATGTAATGTAACTTAATTTATTAAAAATTTATCATTATTTAGTGATAAATATAACATTAATTTTTATTTGTTAGCACAAAAATAATAACTAATTAATTTTTTAAAATATATAACACTGAACATTTACTATTTTAGTACTATCGATCAAAGAGTATTGATAATTACTTAAGACGAATACGATACTTAATGCGTTTTTCTTCTATTGAATCACATGTAAATACTTTGTATGATGAGTTAAAGGTTGACAATGAAATCGAAAATATTTTCAAAGTATGTAATCATGTATATTATACTAATATGGTTTTAATATATTTTGTGAATTATTCATAATTTGTGTAATTAACAGAGTGACATAGAAAAACAACATGAACTGTATAATGCGAAAAAATATAAGGCAATGAGAGACTTGATTGTTATAAATATTAAACAATTTATGATGATATTGCGTGAACGTGGAATAACAATTGATACACAATGTGTAAAAAATAAAAAAAAGAATACAACAATCTTGCAACCAATAGATATTAAACAAGAATTTGATACTGTCTGTAGCAGTAGCATGTTTATGTCAGATGAGCTAGATGTGGATTTAAATTATACTGACACAATTGGCAACCAACAGGATTATGTTCCAGAGACAAATTATATATTTACTGTGAACGAAATTTTTACTTCAGTTGTCAGTTCACTCATACATGTAAGTAAATTTAATATCTATACTCCTATCAAATAGAAAACAATTTCATTGAATTTATTTTTGAGAAAAATTAAATTTGTGTTATAGAGCTCATTGAGTAATCAGAGTAACGACCCTAGGATTTCATTGAGTTACTTACAAGCTTTTAAACAATATCCAGATGATATTTTAAAACAATCATTCAACGCTATAAAAGATGGCAATATAATAACGTGCAGTCAGTATCACAAAGAATCGTTACAAATTTTATTGTCTACCTCACATATTATACAATCAAAAACTTATGATTATGGTTCTAAGTATGTAACCCTTTTTTAATTATAAACTATGGTTCATTGCATAAATGAACAGTTGTGTGTGTATTTTTTTTAAATATTATGTTATTAAAATGCTAACTTGTAATGATGTTTTAATGACAGATTTTTTTCAACATTGGTCGGTAACACTGACGTTGGGCGCTACAAAGATGCGTATATTGCATATTCAGGTATCAAAGAAGATTTGTTTAGATGTAAAATGTTGTTGTTGTACCCCTCGAGTGGATTGTGTTCGACACTTACCAGTCTATCTTTAATGAATATTGTTGATGTTTCCCTAGAATTTGATCAAAAGGCAAATAAAATATTATTTAATTTAATTTTAAAGTTACATTATTAATTTTTGTTCTTCAGTATTTAGAATACATGCCTAATGAAAATTTAGATGAAGAGTCTAAATGTTTAAAAAATACTCTAAAACGGTAATAAATTAGCACTTTTATACTGCAATTATTTATTTTTATTTAGATTTTAGAGTAGTAAGATTTTTTATCGATTAGTCTATTACTAATAAATAAATAACTAATAAGTATTTCTTAGAAATGGTGTATGATGTAATTTCATATAATTTTCATTTTTTTTTTTTTTATGAATTGCTTAAAATACTAAAAATCTTTTATAGAAGCATAACATATTTTTATTTTTTAGTATGAGGAGTCGTCATTTTGATTTACTGTCAACCAGTAATGATTCAGTTGAATACATTAAAATAATAACTTCTGTTACGAAACAGTTAAAAAATTATCAGGTTGGTTGGCAATTTTTTTATTTTTTCTCGTTGTGAATTGTATTTTCAAACTACTTTATACTCATTTTAGGTTATTTGTAAACTAAAACAACCATTACAGAAAATCGAAGAAGAAATTGATTTTGTATCAAAACGCTTATTTAGGTATATATTTATCAATTTTAATTTTACAGTAAGATACAAACAAATTTGTCAATTTTAATATGGCTTATTTATTTATCAGTCGACCAACATTTGAACCGGTACTCGAGACCATTGATGGATTGAACGTTTTGTGCAAACGAATTCTGGAATTCTGTAGCACCAAAGAACAATTTGGTGCCTCGCAGCGAGATATTAATGTAAAAAAAAAAAAAATGTCTTGAAATACTAATTTAAAAAATTACATTTCAATGTATTTATTTTTTTAGAGACATTTTGAAGATTTATCACTTGGTGTTCTTGCATCATCCTTGAGATATTTGATTGATAAAAACTTAATATTAAGAGCAGGTGTTGAAGTTCCAGCATACGTACATTACCGATATGCTGATTTATGGCTAGTTAAAATTCCTAGTGTTAATTCGTCTAAATGTTATAATTCTGCTATCATCGAAGATGAAAATAAACTCCTATCAGAGTGAGTAATGTGACCATTATATGATTGTCTTATTGTATTATTATAAATGTGTTACCAAACGATTGATTTTTAACCGTTCGTTTTCAGGTTGTCGGAGGATACAGAATCTATGGGTCCACCATTTAAAAGGATGCGTGAAGAACGACCAAAAACGTGAGTATTTAACGGTAACTTTTAATGGCATGTAGACAGTTTTCAATTAGCCATCTAAAATAAATCAATTAATTTAGAAACGTAACGACTGAAACCATGGATCGCATCAAAATCTTCCCATGGACAAGATTGGATTTGAAGATCAACAAAGAATGCCTAGAAAAGTATTTGAACTCAGTTTTGTCAAAAATAATCGTTAAACCAGGCATTTATTTAAAAACTCTGAAGAAAGATTATTATCCTATCATTCACCCAATTCATGTCAGAGAGCTCGTAGAAGTACTCATTTATATTATTTTCAATTTTTTTTCAATAGTAATATCGGTTTTTTTTCACCAGATGCTTGAGGTAATGAAATGTATAAAAATGATTTATATCAAAAATATACGTAAGCCATCTTTTTTTTCTGAGCCATCACCTTTAAGCCATAAACTAATGTTTTGTAAGTATTGATCGTATAAATATAATTAATATATTTAATTTGAATAATTAAAACATTATTATTATTAATACTATAAAATGTTATTGTAAAGAGTGAAATTCATTAATATTATTTTATTTCCTACTTTCAAATGATTGTTTAACAATATAATTGGTGTTGGTGTAACATTGTGGATTAAAAATTATAATAAATTTAATTTACTATTTTACAGCTGATGTAAAAGGATTGGAAGACGAATCATTTATAATGTTAGAGCCAACAATTGACTGTGAAATTAGATTTGGATATTTTTCAAGTAAATTTAGTTGTTATGAAAAGTAGATTTTTATATTTTTAATAAATAACAAAATTTTTTTTTTTTTGTGCGTATAATTATTAATAAACACTAAGAAATAATACACACACGTATATATATATTTGTATAAATGTTTTTATTCATAAATGTGTATACCATATTTAGACTTTACTTTGATTTAGATAAAAGTATTTTCCGAATAGAATATAAATTTTATGTATAATATACAAAAGAATCTACGGCAGAAAATATAGAATAAACTCAATTGTTTATTCAGCAATTGATTCTATCTTCTAGTGTCTTCCTATTTTTACTTCAGAAAGAATAGTTTTTAAAAACAGTTAACAATTCTAACATGTTGTACAATTCAGGAAGTGTATTTAACTTGTTTTTTCTTTTAATGTCAATTTATTTACTATGCATATAAAACATTTTTAAATATTAAAAACAAATAAATGATAGACTTGGAAAAACATCATAAAATTATTGAAGTATTATTTAAAAATTATTTACAAAGATCTTAAAATGTAATATTAATCATTTGAAACAGTTATCAAAATGTAATGGAGGATAAAATCACACAAATTATGTTTTTCCACTGCATGTTGTATCTGTACCTTCAAGTATTTTTTCGCGATCATTGTACATTTTCATATACTTCTTTGACTCAGCTATAGCCTTATTTATCCTAAAATGATTCAATACAATGTTTTAAATACAAAATATGAAGATACAATAACTGAAGAATTATATACAATATAAATAAAATAAACAAAATGTTTTATAACATATTAAAAATTATAATTTTACAGTAAACAATTTAAGTAAGTAATTTTTAATTTTAGTCTAGAATTAATCAACAGACAATAAGACATTAGTTGATTTGAACATTTAATCTAACCATTTTTACACTATTAATAAACTCAATTAGTTTATTGAAAAAGAAAAAAATATACTATAAAGTTAAAAAACATAATTATAAAAACCATTAGTTGCCTTAATTAAAATTCTAAATTTTATATGAAATAAGTCATATTTTAAAAGTGTACATAGTGTTAAATCCATATCAACAAACAGCTTTTTTTTTTTTTTTTATAATTGACAAATTCATATTTAATATAAATCAATTTTTTCGTGCATGTTTGTAGACAAGTTGAATTATTACAGTTTTGATATGAGACAATGTTTTTTCAACTATACTTTATTATAATAGTTTTCAGTAATATAGATACATATTATGAATGCAGTATAGTGTGTGACTAAGACACAATGAATTTGATACTGGTTAACTTTTATACTAGGTCATCACAGAAATGTTACTATTTTTTTTTTCAATGTTTTATTTTCAAACTAATAAAAATATGTTTTGATACAATAAATATTTTTGATACCAACTCGCAAGATATTAGAAGTAACTAAACTAGTGAACTAAAGTTAACAGTAGATATAAATTACATAATATTACCCAAAGACCAAGATAATTAAAAAATGCAACATTTTACATTACTCAAATGATAAACAGCAACCATGGTTACAAATTAAGTTTAAACACGATTAACAATTGTGTTGCTACAACAGCCAAAACCAATTCTGTACCCATCTCCTTGACAAAATCCAGATAATATAACTGTGTCACCATCTTCAAAAAATGTTAACTTTCTATCACCCAATTCTATTGGGTTTTTACCACCGTTTGTTTTTTCATATAAACAACCACATTCTTCATCCTTAGGACCACTGACTGTCCCTGATGATAATAAATCACCAGGCTTCAATGTACAGCCATTGACAGTATGATGGGCTATTTGCTGCAATGGAGTCCAATATAAGTACTTAAAATTGGTTTCACAAATAGTATAGTTTTGCTGCGATCCCGGATAACATATATTAGCACTTAAGTGGATGTCAAAATTAAATTTATTTTCATGCAATAAATATTCCAAAGGAGTATGTTCTTGTTTAAAATTATCTGTTTTGAAATCTTCCAAAGCTTCCATTGTCACTATCCATGGAGATATAGTCGTGGCAAAATTTTTTGAAAGAAATGGTCCAAGGAAATGGGACTCCCACATTTGTATATCTCTGGCACTCCAGTCGTTCAATAGAACCATACCAAATATATATTCTGATGCTTTACTCACTGGTATGGGTTCAGCCGGAGAATTTAATGTACCACCAACAAAAAATGCCACTTCTAATTCATAGTCCAACATTTTTGTAGGCCCAAAAGTAACTTTTTTATCTACTAAATACTGGCCATTAGGTCGTACAACTGGCTTACCTGATACATTAATTGTGGACGACCGACTATGATAACAAACTGGCATATTTTTCCAATTCTCTCCTAGAGGTTTTAGGGGATTTAAGAGCATACCACAGCGTAAAGCATGGTAATATGATGAAAAAAAATCAGTAAAATCACCTATTGTAACAGGTAAATGCATGATGACTTCATTTTGATCCCAGAAAACAGCTTTTTCCAAATTCTCAACATTCTCAATACTTAAATATGACTGAATCAACTTACGAGCTAGCGACCAAGTATCCTTACTTGATGCCATCAAACTATGAAGTGATGATTGTTGAAATATTTCATACAGTGGTTGATCAAAAATATTTTTGGAGTTTTTCAAATCCAGAACTTTTTCACCAATTGCAACTCCTATTCGATGAATTGGATCATTTTTAGTAGAAAATACACCGTACGGCAGATTTTCTAATGGAAAATTTGATTCAGTTGAATATGAAATATAACTTTTCAGAGGCATTTTGACACTTTGTATGGATCACACATTAATACATAACACCAGTAACACACAACCAAATATAAGTTTAATATGAGTGAATAAAAACTGTTTTTTTTTTTTTTTAAAAAAAAAAATAATTCTTATCATTATATGACATTGTGACCTATAATATAATCAAGGTTGGTAACATTACCTGGTAAGAAAAATTCTTACTTATAACTTCATTATATATATATTTATCTATACACACTATACTAATAGGTTAATAAAATATATATATATATGACTTAAATAATCAATAGAATCGATTAAAAAAAAAAATTGGGTTCAGAATGCACTGTAATTGACTTTTTTTGTCTAATGGTCACGTTTTTGTAGCCATAGTCCATATACCGTTTTAACTTTGACAAAAAACTCAATTTTAACTAAATTAAATTTTAACTTTTAATTAAAATAATGTTATATAATCATACATTATAATTTAAAATATTAAGAATTTCATCTTCATTAATATGTTAGTTTTAGTATTAATTCAAGTTAAAAATGTAATATAAATAATTTTAAATACTTACATACGAATATCCTTGCCAAATTCTTCTAAATATTCAACTTTACGTTGAGAAAAAATAACTTGTTGTTCAATATCAATAGATTTCATATTTAAAATATTATCAATCAATTTGACAACAGCTAAAATATTCATAGGATTGTCACTCATTTTGATTTCCATTAATTGTAACAGTAAGCGACTGCTTTTTTGAACATTCTACAAAAAAAAAAAATGTTCAATTAATTATGAAAAATAATAGTTAATATTTAATAAATCATAATTTAAGCACTAGATGAAATAATAAATGAAATGAAAAACATAATACTAACATTAATTTTTTCAACTTCAACCCACAAAATTTCAGAAGCTTTATCGGAGTTGTTTAGTATCTAAAACAGAAATAATTTTATATATTTTTAATTCACTTAACATTATAAGAACTATTAATACATACTTTCCAAACAAACCGAGCATATTTGACTGTTAAGAGGATAGAAGTCAATGATGAATTTGCAGTACTAATGTAATGTTCGTACAATTCACATACTCTGTCATAACAATTTCTTCTCCGTTCTAAATTTATTCTTCTTTGGATTATTAACTTTTTGTGTGGTGCCACACTGTCTAACATATCCAGAATTTGAGCGGCTTTGTCATATTGTCCTGGGCAACAAGATATAATTAAAAATTAACCAAAATGTTGCTTAAAAAATTAATGTTTACCATTATTTTCTAAATGAAGAGCCCATGTTAAGTTAATACCAGGTTTATTCTTATGATGCACAGTGCATGCCCTAATGTAAATATCTTCTATACGATCTTTAATCTCCTGGTCATCAGATTCAAGACTTTCCAAATAACTTATGTACTAAAGAAAAAATGATATAAAAGTATTATGTGACTGAATTAAGTATGTTAAATTATTATAATACTTTAGTCCAAAATTCTTCATAAAGAGCACAAGCTATTAAACATCTTTCAAAAAGCACCACAATACGCTTATAAACTCCTTGACCAATTTCAAATTCCAAATATTCTTTCCAATTTCTAATCTGAGATCTTTCTAAAGGTTTTACGTGAAAATATGGTCGTTTAATCTAAAATAAATAAAAAATAAATTGTTTAAATTATGTCAAATAAATTATCTACTACTAACCATTTCTTCATAGGGTAATCTTAATGCTACCATTTCTGCTGTAGTCTTATGTATTAACAAACGTGAAGCAATCATTTTTTCTTTCATCAAGTTTTCTTCTTTGGTGCGCTATAATTTTATTAAACAAATTTATTTAATTTATTAAATCAATGAGATAGCTCTAAATTTATTGATTACTTGTTCCATAGGATCTGCCATATCATCAGAATCTGAACCAGAATCAATTTTTCTACCTTGATTTTTTTTTGCTTCAGTTTCCTTGATTTCAGCTAATACTTCTTTTCTTAGTTCCAAAAATTTAACAGTCTCCAAAATTTTATTTTTAGGGTACTTTTTAATATAGTCTTTAAAACTGGAAACAATTTTTAAAAAATAAAACAGAAATATATTTTAAATGTTATATATTGAGATAGTATTACCATTCAAAATTATTTAAATATCCATGAGTTGGAGTAGCAATTAAACGTTCATAAATATCTGTAACTCTTGAATATTGTTTGCATTCTAATTCAAACTTGATGTAATGATCCCATAAACGATCCGACCTTCAATTAAGTTTTATTATTGTGCTTTTTTTAGGTTACAATTAATAATATACCTACCTAAACTCAATTCCACAAGCATCTACTGCTCTTTCAAATTGTTCTCTTATCAATTCTTCATCATCTGGATAAGCAGATTTCATATATCCCATATAATGAATCCATAAATCAACACTTAATGGAATTGCTTTTAAGCCACGATCAAATACCTGTACACAATTTTAAAAATGTAAAAACTTTAAAATAGTAAATTAAGTATTGACAGTGTAATTAACTTAAATATATTCATGCCTATTACATTTACAAATAACCTTATGACTAGTTTTATAAATCACCGCTTACCCAAAATAAATCCAAAACAGCTCTTGGCGTGTGTCGCAATGCCGCATTATTATGTTTTCTTATCATTAAAATAAATTTAACAAATATAACTTATATATACTATAAATCAACTTAATTATTAAAAAAAAAATAAAATAAAAAAATAACAATTATGATAATAATAATAATAATAATAATAATAATAATAATCATAATAATAATAATAATACTAAAAATAAAATAATAATAATTATAACTTATTTCTCATAATTACTTAATTTTAATATACAATTCACAAATAAAAGACAATTTTTAATCTTACACCTAATGACCATTTAAAACCATGCCATGATATTTAATTAACAAATACACAATACAAATTAAATCTATTTTTAATTCAAATAAATTTTTTTTTCACGTGTATAAGTGAAATTTGTGATTTATTTGAGCCACAGTTGGTGCGTGCAGTGTTTTGTGCTTTATCCAGCAGCGGCCTGATGAAAAATATCTAGACCAAAATCATGTTAAATAGTTATAAAGAAATCGTTGAAGAATTTTACTAATAGGAAAAGATATATTGGGCAAAGGATAAAATTAATCAAATCACCTGAAAAGTTAAATGTTTTAAAAATTACACAAACATTTGATTATTAATAATAAAAACAATTTATAAATTAATATATCTTCAGTTTCTTTAAATATAAACATTAAACATAAAATTATTACAATATTTTTGTTTGGCAGAATTGGGATAGCACAAGTAATGTAATTTGAAGACTGATCATTTTGAAAATCGAGGAACACATTTTTCTTCATTGTACAACTGCATTTAAAGATGTAGATACATTCCTTTCTACAATTTATTTTGGAAAAAATTGTATCTTGATCTTCATTTAAAGAAATATATATATATATTATATATAAATAAGTACTTAATAAGTATTAATAAATAATTTTTTTTTTTATCATAATGCTTAGATTAAATGTATATAATTGTATTATTAAATTAATAATTTGCACCAGTAGTTTTCAAAATTTTTTGTTTGCGGAACCCTTGTTTCTATAAAAATGTACGGGACCCCAAAAAATCAGAAATTTATAATCGAGACAACAATAGTTATCAATATTTCATATTAAGAAACACAAACAGTCCAAAATTTAGTTTTTTATTTAGAAGATCAGATTTTTTTATTTGCTGTATAAACGATGGACATTTTAAGTTGTATTGATAAGTTAGGTTTACTTTATTTAATTTTGTAAAATACCAACCAAGTAATGAAGTCGGAATAATTAAATTTTACCAGAAATCTGAGTTATAAATTAAATGGGGGTCACTAAAACATAATTCAAAAAAATTCAAGTAATTCAAGTAATCACACTAGTATTTTCCCTCAATATCTAAGATATATAATAATATTTAATTGATTCAGATATGACCACGGATCCCATGGAGCTACTAAATTTCTGTCGCAGAGTCCAAGAGTTCTGCAGAGGAAAGTTTGAGAACTACTGCTTTAGATATACACAGTATATAATAATGTTATATATATAATTAAATTTAAATTACTATTTTTAATTAGATGATATATTATAGATATTAATTAAACTAAATACAAAAAAAAAATGAATACTTAAATTAATAATATAAATAAATTTAAAATTATACTAATAGTAAATAGTTTTTCAATTATAGCATAGTTACTATATAAATAAAAACTATTAAATACTTAATTTTATTCTTAAAAACTAGATTCCATAAATATATATTCAAAATATTTGATTTCAAAAAATAAGTTTCAACTAGTGATACAATGATACATTAAAATTTTAAATATTAACAAAAATACTATGCACTTTACAACTTAATTATTATGTATATAAATTTGATTCGAGATATGTATGAAAGCTTAAAGACTAATGTAAAGAGTTTGTATGGAATAACAAAAGATTTTAACATAGGAATTAAGAGTGCATCAGGGGTCAGCTCTAAGTCCTTATTTGTTTTCTGTGATAATAGATAAAGTTATAAAAAAAACACTGGACAAGATACTATGGTGTATGATTGTTGCTAATGATATCATTTTAGTAAAAAAAAATCTGGAAGTTAATAAGTTAGCCCTTGGAGGAAAATGATTAGAAATTAAACAGAGTATACAAAGTATGACTTTGGAAGAATATACCAAGAAGTTGAGGGGATGATACCAATGACAATAAGCGGTGATATGATAGGTGAATTCAAGAAGTTTAAATATTTAGGATCATTTGTATAAAAGGTTGGGGTATGGATGTATAACATAGGATTAAGAGAGGTTGGATGAAATAGAGAAAAGCGCCAGGTGTTTTTATGATAAGAAACTTCCTATGAGGCTGAAAGATAAATTTTATAGGAGTGTAATGAGAATAACTATGTGGTTTGGAGTATTGAGCGGTTGACAGGAGAATAGAACAGAGTATGAGTGTTAGGTAAATGAGATTGCTTAAATGGATGAGTAGAGTTACAAGAGAAGATAGAATAAGGAACAGCTATGTTAGAGGTAGTATTGGTGTAGCATCAATAATGGACAAGATGAGAGAAAATAGAATGAGATAGTTTGGGCATGTGATGAGATGAGAGAAAACAAAAGCAGTAAGAGTAGTTATAAAAAAAGAAAGAGAAAGATCAAAAAAAAAGATAGTTGGATATAATTGAGAATGATATGAGGGATGTTAGTGTATGAGTAGAGAATGTAGAAAAACTAGACGAGTGGAGGTTTAGGACAAAATTGGCTACTAATCTTAAACAGTTGGGACAAAGGAGAGGGAAAAGAATTTACAACTTAATTATCATATGTGTATTAAATATTAATTATGTTTACTGAACTAAAATTAAGAATTCTTATAAATAACTCTATTGTGAAAACACTATTTAACAAAAATATAAATTTAAAAAACAAATTTCTTCTATTTATTGTTAAACACAACATATGTGAAAAACGTATGAAACATTATTCAAAAAAACAAAATAAATGATTGACAATGGTAAAATATAACAATGGTAAAAATAACTTAAATCTAATAGTTAAGTTTATATACATTATATTATTATGAAATCTTAGTATTAGTTTTGCTTTGTATACAAAAGTTAAATAAAATTATTTTACAATATTTTGAAGCAATTTAATATCATTGTTTAAGAAAATCAGAACCCAAGAGAAATTGAATGTGTGCAAAAATAGATTTCTCAAATGTATAAAAAAAATCTCTTAGTACAACTGTACATTTTCTCACCTATAGCTTAGAGCACTTCAGTTTTTCAAAAACATACAAAAATATTATTTTAAATTTAACTATAAGTTTCCCTTAAACCGAAGTATCAATCACTTTTAATTTTGATTTACTTAATCCAACTAGTCCCAAATAAAATAAGGAATTATATAATTTTTTAACAGTAATCTTACTTATAAAGAAATAAATTGAGGAATGATCTGTTTTTTTGTTAGTTAACACAAGTAATGTAATATTTAGTGTAACATAAAAATTTCAACTTACTTTTTCACAGTTTTCTTTAGTACCATTTTTTCTTTCATAATCTGCATATTTCCTCCAATAACCGTAACAATATGGATATAAATCTAAAAACGCATCATAAGCTTCACGTGCAGCATCAATATTTTTCTAAAGTAAAAAAGAATAAACTAAAATAAAAAATTAACTAGATAAAATAAAATATAGATTATTTTAATAATTTACCGCGCCATCAACATACTGCAGTAAGTATGTCCAACCTATAAAATCAGATGGATCATCACGTACAGTTTGCCAAAACTTATCCAACTCTCTCAGTTTTTTGGATTCTTTTTCTTTATCAATCTAATTCAATAGTAGCATTTTTAATTAAGAAACAATTGAAGCACAAGAATTTAAATTTTACACTTACTATTTTTGTTCTTTTTTTCAATGAACTATCCTTGCTTGATCTATCTTTGCTAGGTGTACGTGAACGTTTTTTGTCACTTCTTTTTGAATCTTCTTTTCTTGAATAATCTTTTGACTTAGAATCTAAAATAAATGTAAATTAATAAAATTTATATAGTTTAATTTAAATATTAAATACTAAAAAAGTAACCAATAATTTAACAATTGCATGGTTAAACTTTTTAACAGTTAATTTATTTAAACATTTTTATGTTTAAGATACTTAAATAGAAAATTAAGTTTATAAAATGTATTACCCTGAAATAAAATAAAATAATAACAAGCTGTAATGCTTATTATTAATTGGCTAAATCTCATTGAATTAATAAATATCAATACTTAAATTTTTTGTTTAATTTAAACATAAATTTACAATCTGTACAGTTTAAAAATAAGTAAATATTATGAAACTCATATAGTTGACGTGAGTAATTTGACTACTAAAGTTTATTGACAATATTCTCATATAATTTGCTAATTATTTAATTTAAAAGATCAATGAAATTTATTACAAAACGTCTGTTTCTTTATAAGTGTTGTTCTGGGTTTTCAGTTAAAGTGCAAAAGAACTATTTTTTATAAGACAATATATGTAAGAATCAAGTTGATTTGTATGAGTTAAATTGTTTAAAATATGCAGGAGCTAATTCTTTAACGAATGCGACATTGAAGTATTTGTAAAAAGAAGTATTGCTACTATACCACAGCTTGCCTGTATTTAGTCATAGAGTAATGTTTTGACGTGATTGTATTGTAAAGTTTGGTTTTTACAAGCTCTAACAATTTTTTAATTCTGTATGAGCAAACGTGTCATATTATTAATTTATAAATATTGTAATATTTATATTTTATACAAATACTTGCACATTTTTTTTTTTGCTTGACAAACAAAATTAAGTTTTACAAATTAATTTATAATACAATTAAACCAATAAGTTTATATAAATTTAATAAAAGAAAAGAAAATTTCACATAAAAATGGAAAAAAATTAATTGGTTGCAAAATCAAATATAAAAACAAAAAAGAAATAATCAATTGCATACATTATATATATATATATATAATTGATCATAAAGAAAAAAAAATTCTACAAAAATATATTTGAAAAACATAATATTTAAATTAACATTTTCTAATTAATCAAACCTAACCTATAATTGAATGTTTATAAAAATAATTTTTTACAAATATATTTATTAACTAATATTATAATAGTACACCATTGATTTTATATATATATATGTTTTTTATAAATTAATTATGAGCATTTAATTATGAAATTTTAAAATGTCACTAGTCAGAATTTATTACATAAAATTCATACTTAAAATGAATGCATTAAATTAACTAGTTTATTTATGTTGGAAACTTAAGGGCCAAACATGTAAAATTTAAAACAAGTCTGGGTATCTAGTCTCCATATGAAAGGTTAATAACAATTAGAAACCTTTATTTATCTATTATGAAAATTATAACACAAAAATATTTAATAATTTAATTATATTTTATAATTAATAATAAAAATGATAGTAATTATTAATTAGCAGCTCATATATAATGATGAATATTAAACACTATATGAAAATATTTTCCATTCAACTATGATGAAAATGTAAATAAAAATTAAGAAAAGGGAATTGCATAGATATATCTCCAAGGTAACAAGAATTAAATGAGTTAATTTCTATAGTTAAATTTTAAAAGTTAAAAATCGGATGTCATTTAATGGTTAAAAGAAAAAATCCAATAAAAAATAACAATATTCTAAAAAATAAAACTAAAATGTATGAACTCTCTATATAAATTGACATACTTTACAAAAATAAACCAGTATACCTATTTTATTATCTAATTCCAAATTTATTAAAAATGTATTTACCTGATTTTTTATCATATTTTTTCTTTATGCTTTCTTTTTCTTTTGATTCTTTTTTTATTTTTTTGCTTTCTCTTTCATACTTATCTTTATCATTTTCTACTGTTGCATCTACTATTTTATTATCATCCTTTAAATAAATACATATCTATTAAATACAACAAACTTAGATCATATACACTGGATAAAGCTAAGGAATATAATTGTGAAGCACAGTTATTAGAATTAATGATCCTAATTTCACTACTTTCCATGTGCATTAATTTGTTTAAAATTGATAGTCACTCTTTGTTCCACGCTATCTATGGCCCATGAAAAATAAACTTAAGGTTAAACTGCTATTTAACGTATTGATTACTCGTGATATAGGTAAAAGAGTTAACCAGTAAACATTAACTAAGTCAACAAACATGCATTTTATTAATAATATACATACTTCATCACTATCTCCAGCCACTTCGTCACAGACAATCATTTCAGATAATTCCAGTTCTTCTTTGCCATCTTCAGAATTATTTTGACTGTCTTTAAAATCATAGTGACTATTGTCTTCTTCACTTTTTTTATCAGCATTCTCGGTTTTTATTTTTATTGACTCATCTTCTAACTCATTTATAGTACTTTTATGTTCAAACTAAAATATTTATAAAATAATATTAGCAAACAATGTATGCTTTTTGTAATAGTTACTGAAATGTTTAATATTTTTAGTTTAACTTTAACAAACATATAATCAGTATTATGTTACCTCTTCGTTTTTTGAAGCAGCTAAACAACCATTTGCTTCTTTTTCTACTCCATTTAAATTTTTTTTTTCCATTCTTTTCTGTAAAATATATTTTTGAATTTGGTTAAATTTTAAATTATATATACATTTATTGGAGTACAGCATTCTTTAACAAAAAAATTTTATAAAAAATAAAGGAGTATAATTTAAATTTTTAAAACTTCGTAGTTATAAAGTGAAATACTTGTGATTTTAAAGTTTTATAATTTTTTAATAATAGATTATCTAATACTGGATATTTTTTTGGCATTAATTGAAATGATAATTACCTATTTAAAAAAAATTAAAGCTTAAAGAAGTAGAGAAGAACTTTATAACTACAGAAAGTTTTTTGCTACATGTTCCACCATTATAAATAAGTTTTGAAAAAATAATAAAATATTTTTATACCTAATTTATAAAAAAATATATATTTAGCCAAATATTTACTATTTAAAAAATAGTATAACTTACTATTAAGTATCTTGAATAAGTTATTTCTAATTTATTATTTATTTTTAATTAATACTGGGTTTTAGGTCTCATAATATAACCTCATGTGGAGACCCAGGGGTGTATTTAACATTTCTTATAAAAGAAATTATATTTTGTTTTTAAAACCATACACTTAAATAATAATAATTTATATTGACTATATCATATAACCTAATTAGAAAAGAAAAATATTGAATATTAGGTAAATTAAGACATTAATCTAAAAACTTATTTATTGTTTATTATTGCTTACACACTTGCAATACTGAATCTCCTAAATTCTATCTAATCTTTTCTATCATTTGTGATCAAATAGCAATATAAATATATAATTGTTCATTTTAATTTAGATGGGTATTATTTTTAATAAACAGAAATAGTTTTTATATTTAACATAAACTAGAAATTATGAACTACCTAGTTAAAGCCTTGTTTAATCCACTATTCTTAAATTAAAATTTTCTACGAGCCCATTATACATTTGTAAATAAACGTATTGTACAAAAATTAATAAAAATTTAAATGTAAATTATACTATATGATGATATGTATTAATTTAATTTTTATTTTCAGTCCATGGACATAAGAAAAATAAATAATTGATATAATTACATAATCAATAATTTAAAAATAATAAATAAAATAAAAATAACATAAAGGCTAACCTTTAATTCTCTTTCTTCGGCATCCACAGAGTCGATAAGTTTCTCTAAATCATCATAAATCTTATCTTCAGTACCAGTATTATGATCATGATTTTCAGTGTCAGAAGACATGATGGTTAGGTTCCTTGGTCTAAATTCAATTTTTAGTCCACATGAAACAATTTACATGAACAAATGACAAAATCAGAGTTGGTTAACCTATCTTGGGATAAGATTTTTAATTCTTAATAATTATGGTAAAATCTGTAAAAATTAAAATTATCAATAAGTAATCGTAAATTCACTAGAAATCGTTAAATGTAAAAAAACTTTAAGATCAACAACTTGTACTTTTAACAATCAAGGTTCATCGTAAATAATTAAGTGAAATCGACTGACCGATCAGAACGTACGGAAAATTCATAAAATTGAAAATAAATAAACCAGTAGGTATCACATAGCGTCCTATATTGTACCTACCAATATAATTTCCCAGTGGGCACGCACAAACACACAAAAAAAAAAAAAAATGATAAGTAAAACACAATAATTGATAACAACGCCATTTTGATTTACGGTGCGTACAGATTATCGTTCTCCATGGAATGCCTTTTTATTGTCCATGATTTGACCGGGTCATATATTTCGTTCAGGTATTTTTTTATCGCCGCCGAGCTCCAAACAGAAATATACTGCCTACGGGGGAAAATGGTAACCGTGCAAAAGCGTTACCTATACGCAAGGTATTGTTGTGCCAACCAGGCAGTGGCGTAGCAAGGGCATGGCGAACTGTTCCTACGCCAAGGGTGCGAATTGCAAAGGGGCGCAAAATTGTACAAAAGTCGTATTTTTATCTTACAATTAAATCGAAAATTTTCCATTATACTTTTTGAAATACGTAGATGTTGTCTATTTGTATATGTTACCGGAAAAGATGACAATCAGTCCATGTTGACAATGACTAGTCAATAACGATAATGCCTGATTTAGTAAGGAATTAATGTCAATACCTAGTCATTGATAACAATTCCTAATAAAAGAAGGCATTAATAATAACATTAAAAATTGATTTAATATATTTTAATACTTATTAGCTATTTAGGATAAATCATAATTTTAATCTTTATTGTTACGTGGTAAATTACTATTGGTATTATATACACTTGGAATTATTTAATCTAGTACAGCGGTACCCAAACTGTGCTCCGCGAAGCCTTTGGTGCTTCGCAATGGTTTGCCTAGGGCTCCGTTCGTAACACCATAAAAAATTTAAAAAAATGCTCGTCATTTTAAATTAATATATATTTCATGAAGACTTGAATGTTCCATAATCAGATCGATCACCGATAAAGCGGTGTTGATATTTGTTTGAATACGGATTTATAACATTGCCTAATATAATACGGAAATGTTGATAAAACTACGAAATATTTAACATTGCCTGACCTTTCCAGTCATTATCAACAATAACTAGGATATACTGTAAATTTCTGAATTTTCATATTTTCCGGTAACATTTATACTACGTGTGAATTTAATGATGAAATTATGAAGATATGGCATTTAAATTAAAAATTCCTTATGAAGAAATTATCAATGAATTTTACATTCATAAAGAGAGGAAAGCAAATTTTCAAAGTTTAAAATTAACATTGTAATAATAACTTTAAACGGACATACAGGGATAAAAGGAAATTAAATTTCAGATGAACAAGCCTCTCTCGCTATAACCAATTCCGATACGCTTTTAATCGAACAAGTATCCCATGATGGCAAAACCCCAACCTTAAACGAAAAGAAGAAACTGTAATACACAGGCTACGAATAGAATAGGTTCACCAGAATCACCCACGGTTTAGTGGGTTTAGTAGTTAAAACTCACCAACATGCTCAACATGCGGAACCAAACTCTTTGTCGAACACATTATTACAGAATGTTTAAAATACAATCAAGATAAATTAGATCATAAGATATCTCATAATCTTGATGCAGCTATTGGTCCCAACTACCAAAACAATATAGACTTAATTAACTATCTATAAATTAACATGTAAAAACAAATTTAAGATCATATAATGTATAAATTAATAACAACAAATGTAATGTAAAAATACAGTTGGAATTATAAAAAAACTAATGGCCATTGCTGCCGATGTTCAATGAGATAAAAAAAAAAATAACTTAAAAGTGTAAGTTGTATACTTAAAAATATTAGTAAAATTAAAGGTTATATTAAAATATCATGACATCAGATTTTAATTGATTAGAAAAATAACTTTTTCTAAGTTTGCCAAGGGCGCTAGCGAGTCTTTTTACGCCACTGCAGCCAGGACCGGCTCAAGGTATAGACGAGCTAGGCACCTGCCTAGAGCGGCACTTTATTAGGGGCGGTATTTTTAAAACTGACTCGTACATTGTTTTTGAGTTCTATCAGTGTTCTATAAGAAAAATATTTTAATTAATTCATTCGTGAAAATCACTTACCTATATAATAAAATAATATTGTCTAAGGTTAATATATTACATTGTGTTATGGCCTACGCTGGGCGTTTTCAATTAAGTATTTTTACTTATAATTTTAAACATAAAATAAAAAATTAAAATTTGATTTTGCCTAGTGCACTATTTGTGTTTCAGCCGGTTCTGACGCCGGCACAGTTATATTTACTAATATTTTATTGAGGTGAATCGCGTTCAGTGCCGCAATAACCGGGTGCGTTGGGTGTATCAAAAATGCCCGGACTCACGACCCCCAGCCTATTACAGGACCCGACGATAATATTTGAAAAATATGTAGAAAACAAGAAATAAAACCGTTTTATAACAAGGGAGATTGAAGGGAGATTGAACAAAAATCGATTGATTTTGTTTCGCGTACATTATCGTACATTAGCGTTTCTTTTGCGGGGTCTGTACGATCGAAATTCAAAATGGTTCGGTGTTACGATTGATTTAATTAAAGGTACGGTTTCCCTGCAGAGTCCGGTCACCGGGAGGGGGGGGAGGGGGAGATTTAATTTTATTTACCCATGAGACCAAAGTCGGTGTGGTCGCGGCACCGATTGCATTATGTGTTATTCGGACAACGTAGGCCAATCAAATATGCTTGTTCGACATTTTTAATAGAAACAGATGGGACTCGCACGGACCGTACGCGTTGAAGTGTCTTGGGACATCAACTAGCTGCCCACTTATAGCATAATGATTTTTTTACTTATTTATTATAATATTCATGTCAAATTTTTGTAACATTATTTTAATCTTAACATAGGTGCATCGGTTTCTGTAATATTTGTTCATTTCATCCGTGTTAAACGGCGTTTAGGTCACACTATAATATTTCGAAATGTCAAACCATGTTTAATGTCTGTGGCTAAAACTTTTAGCAAATGTTGAAAAAGAGGACCAATACAAGAATTTTTCCAGATAAATATGTATTTTCCATTGAAATATTACATTATTATACGTTTAATGGGTTCTGAATTGTAAGTTATAAGTGTAAAAATTAGGACTCTCGGTTTGGTATGTGTATTGATATACACGTGTGTACGTAGTCCGAACATTAAATAATAATATGTAGGAATCAGGGCCGTATTCACTGCAGGGCAAGAGGGCATGGGCCAGGATCGCAGTTCTGAAAGGAGCGCAAATTTCAACACTACTTATGTAATGTTTTTCACGAAATATGAAAAATAGGGAGTTAAAAAAATTTAATTTGATAATATCATAGATAAATTTGCCTCTATAAAATAAAGAAAAGTACCATTATAATATTATTCTAACACAATTGTGAAACAAAAATATTTGAAGAAAATAACATGTTTTTATAATGTATTGATTGTTTATATTTTAAAGTAATACAAATAGTTATTAAAGTTTATTAGTAATTATTACTTTGTATATTATGTTTTTATACATGCTTTATATATCTCAAATGATTTTTTTGTACAAAAATTCATTTTTCCCATTGGGGGGGGGGAATACAGTGATTCGCCAGGGGCGCCACCAGACCTCAATATAGACCTGGTAGGAATACCCGTGTATTTAATTACACGTGTCTTTAAAGTTCGTGAACACGTCTATCATTCACGTGTATTATATTGTAAATATAATGTGTAAATATTCAAAATTTAAAAAACTTATTATAGGTACTTATTAATATTTTTTCATTAATAAAGGGTTATTTCTGATTATGAATTGTATAAATATATATATATTTATAATTTTTAGAAAAATCAAATACGAAATTTATAATTTATATTATTATGTATGAATAAGCATTGAATGTATTTATAAGTTATTTTTATAATGTTTTTACTGTAAAATATATTATAATACAATCGTATTAATAAAACTCAAATTAATAGTTATTAATTTATTATTAAAAAAAAGTTAATTAAAAAGTTAATCCCTCTAGCCCCCCTAGTTACGCCTATGGGGAGGGGCACATGGGGCATGTGCCACTGTTACTCATTCTTGTATCCACCATTGATCATAACGTACGGACTCTTAATACACGAGTACACGGACTCTAATACACGTGTACACGTGTGTTATAATAACACACACTTTAGCACCGTTTTTATAAAAACACGTACGGAACGTGTTCTTAAATACACGAGAAATAGAGACCCCTAGTAAAAATGTGCATTTTACATGCATTTGTTTACGGATTCGAAGAAATCTAACCTCTAAACTCCGCTAAGATTTTTTACAACGGAGAAAGCAAATTAATTTCTACCATAAATTAAATTCACTCGCTTTTTTCAAATAGAACGTGTAATGACGTTTATATTTTTAATGAATTTGAACAATTTTTGGGGCGTTCAAATTTATTCATTGTTTTAAAAATTTTTGTATAAATAATCAATACCTATTAATTATAATATGTTTCAGTACATGTTTTAAACATAAAACAAAATATTTCTAATACATTTATATTATTTATATATTTATATATTTTATATTTCCAATTTATACAGAATTCAGGTTAGTGATTTATAAATAAAAAATAAAAAAATTTAAATTAACGGCCAAATAAACGCATTCATTTTTTTCATAGAACTTGAACGTGAACGTGAACGAGTTCAATTTTTAAGTGAATGTTTCGAACACTATAAATATGTAACAATTAAAATAATTATTAGGTACTTAAATATACCTAAGCCCAACTAAAAATAGTTATTGAGATGTCATAGATTTAATCCTATGATCTTATGGATCTCATTACACTGCAATATTTGTTATTACCGAAAATATCATAAGAAAGTTTTTTTTTTTTTATAGTCATCCATTCCATGGTTATCCTTAAATTTGATAGGATACCAGAGCCGTACCAAGCCATTTTTTATCCTGAGGCAGAACTGAAGCAATGTGTCCCTTAGGTTGTAGGGTTGTCACACTCACAGCTTTTAATATGTATAATACGATTCGGAAAAATCTGAAAAATTGTAATTAGGCTTTTAGCAAAACAAGAAATAGCATTTCTTAAAATAAGTAGTTATTTAATATTTTTATGCCCACCAGCTTCAGGTGCCCAAGGCAAGATACCCAATATTTATCTGATAATTTAAAAACAATTTTAAATAATTTCCAAGAATTTATTATGGCCTTAAATATCTTAGTCCGTGGCACAACTTAAAAAATACTTTCTAAAACCGTAAGCTGTAATAATATTGTTGTGGGCACAAAATAAGATAAAATATCTTGTGAAATGTTTGTAAATAATTTCTGTATTGATTTTAAAAAAACAGCTGATTATTTTTGATAAGACATTGTCAACAGTTAACATAATGCTGATAATGAGACTCGGTGTCAGTGATATTGGTAATTAAATGGTGAATGATCAAAAACAATAATTTATTTTAATTTATGTGAGATTCCTTTGTACTCGGTTCTAAATATTCCAATTTTTCAAATTGCAATAACTAAATGAAATATAATGAGTGGTAGTTCATTCGATTATAATTCTCTGTCATTTGGACGAATATCATCAATACCAGACAAATCAGATGTAAGAAATAATTAATTATTCAATTATTATAAGCTAGTTTATGTATGTTGTTGAATTTATTGATGAATAACTAGTTGTATGTTTGTGTTTAATGTCTATTACTTATAACTAAATCTTATAGGATTATGAATTAATTCCAAATTAAGTAAGCAGATTGTTTACCAAACTAATAAGTTTGCCTTAAGCTGGTATGACACTAGTCTGATAGATATAGATTGATCGTCAACAAGTTGATGAACATTAAACAAAAACATTTATTCATTTATTGATAATGAATCAATGTAGTTCTAGCTTTAGAATATTCTATAGATCTTTTTTTAATTATTTGACAAAAATATAAATATTATTGAATTATATTAATATTTATGTATTTTGTGTTTGGTAAGTATTAGTACATTTTTATTAATTTAAATTTGTTACCTTCTAGGTTTTGGAATGTCGTGTTTGTGAAGATATATTCACTCTTCAAGGAGATAAAGTCCCACGTTTACTGTATTGTGGACATACTATATGTCATTCTTGTTTATTACGCTTATACCAACGATGTTCTACTGTCCAGTGTCCGTTCGACAGGCAAGCAACGCCTATAGGACCATCAGGAGTTTGGGGCTTAAAAAAGAATTTTGCATTATTAGAATTACTGGAACGTTTACAACGGAGCAACAAAGCAGAAATGAATATAAATTCATATTTAAATGCTGAAACAATGGAAAAAGAAGAACAAGTAATCAATTATTAAATTGTGTAACTTTGTGTATTGATAGTTTTTAATTTACATATTTCACAGTTACACATAACTTGCGATGAAAATGATAATCATATTGCTGTTCTTTATTGCACTGTATGCTGTACAAATTTATGTTTCTATTGTTCTGAACAAACTCACAGCACACGAACGTTAGCCAAGCATCGCAGAGTTCCTTTATCAGAAAAACCACAAGAACGACCTCGATGTCCATTACATCCATCTCATGTGGCTGAGTTCACTTGCCTGCAAGATAGTTGCCGCCAGCCATCACCTCCACTCATGTGTTTTGTGTGTAAAGACTATGGAACTCATAAAAATCATAAGGTCTCATGAAATTAAAAAATATACTGATATTTATACTATATTTGATGAAATATAATTATAATATATACTATACTTTTTTCAGCATGCTTTAGTTGAAATAGAAGCAGAAAATATCAGGTCAAAAGTGAAAAATGCTGGACCATTAATGCGTAATTTGATGGAAGAAATAAATGATACTATTCAAAGATTAGGTAAAAAATGTAGACAAATTATTTCATTATTGTAGTTATATATTTATTATATATTTATTATATCTACTCATTACATATGATTATAATCATACTTATTTAGACCAGGTAATGTTACGTTTGGAAGGTGCAGATGCAAATGGATTAGTTGATGATGAAGTATCTAATCCTGGTACAGGCTATCTGGCCCGTGCTAGAGTTCAGTTGTATTTTCAACATCTTCGGGAAACATTACAAGTTCAAGAAGCTGCTGCCTTAACTGCTGTTGATACACATGTAAGAGAAAGATTAGGTTCACTAAGAAGCTTACAAGAAGATTTAGCGTCATCATTATCTCAAGTCGCTGTAATATGTGTACAATGTGAACAAGCTGTTCGACAAGATGATTCTCGTGTTATATCTGCTAGTATTGATATCAATCAAGCTTTAAATGTTATCGAAAAACACAAACAAATGTTTACTGAACTTGGTCCAGAACAATTACAACCAGATGCTAGTATACCCATTACTTTTACAAAAGTAAGCATATCCACTGGCTGTTTTTTTTAGTTTAATTCACTATTTAATTATTTTAGGATAATAGGGTGCACATTGGTCCAAAAATGGAAATTCGTGTTGTTACTTTAGGATTAGATGGAGCAGGGAAAACTAGTGTACTTTTCAAACTAAAACAAAATGAATTTATGACTATGATTCCTACTCTTGGGTTTAATGTTGAAACCGTTGATTATAAAAACATGAAATTTACCATATGGGATGTTGGTGGTCAACCAAAATTGAGACCATTATGGAAACATTACTATCTTAATACACAGGTTCGAAGAATCAAGATAATTATTACTTTATAAAATATACTTATTGATATTAAATTAATTTATTACTCTGATATTTTGTATAGGCAGTTGTATTTGTGATCGATTCCAGTGATCAACAAAGACTATTAGAATCATCAAATGAATTATCTAAACTAATGACAGAAAAAGAATTGAAAGATGCTGCATTATTGATTTTAGCTAATAAACAAGTATGATTAACTTCTGTTAGAAATTAACTTTTTTTTTAACAAGATTTTATTTCAAATTGTTTATTTTCTAGGATATTCATGGATGTGTGACTATTGAAACAATCACCGAATTATTTGGCTTATATAAACTATGTTGTGGGCGCAGTTGGCATATACAAGCTTGTGATGCCCAGAGTGGTGCTGGTCTTCATGATGGACTTGATTGGCTTGCAAGACAACTTGTTGCTTCTGGTGTCCATGATCTCAATTAATATTATGAAATCTTTGATTTTCGAAAATTGATTATATATTTAATACTATTTTTTCTCCATCGATTCAAATATTTAAATTTAAAAATATGGTTTATTAATTGTTGTGTTTGCTTATACTTAAGATTATATTATTGTATTGTGATAACTTTTTTTTTGTTTTTCAATTAATTTAAAAGTATTATGCTGACATATTTTAATTATTTCATTACATTTTATTTAATACTATTATGATGAAATGTATGGAATTTTAAACCAATTAACTACTTATTGTAAATAAAAGAAAAGTGGCATACATAATACAAATCATATAGTGAATAGAAGATTACATTTTGAATCTAGAAAAGTTGTATTGTGATGGAATAAAACAACACATTCAACTTAAAAGTTATTATTTAGCAATAATAAAATTAAAAAAAAATTAGAAATCTAAAAAAATTATTATTGATTTTAAATTACTATAGAATTATCTATTAAACGTAAATGCTTATTTTTCACCTAATTTATTTTGGTAGTTCGCATAGACATCACTATAAATTTATTTTTTAGGATATGTCAATTTAATTTTTTTTTCAATCTAATAATAAAATATTTTATTTATTATTATTATTATTATTTTTTTTTTTTTTTGTATTTATTTGTATTATTTGTCTACAATGGATACAACTATTCTAGTTTATTTTCATTTTAGTCAAGTGGATGATCAACATCACACATTACAAACATAAAAACATGTACAAGAGATGCTACTCTTAATGTGTTCCATGAACTATGTCTTACATCATATTTAATAACATTACATATATTATATTACATAATTTATAGGTATTTAATATTAAATTAGATAATTTCTAAGTTATTTCATTAAAAATAAATTATTAATTTTATTTTATTACTTATAAGATGTAAAGCCATTATTAAAAATCTGCATTATTGTCTTCAGACTTACAACAATAACATTATTATTTATTATTTCATATTAATCAAAAACAATATAATGTATTCTGATATCTATGCTTAATTAAAATTTTATTTGACTGTGGAATTATGTTGATAAACCTTACTTAAAGTTTCATTAAAGAAATACTTTTAAATTCTTCATTCATGTTAGCAAACATATTATTATCTTTAATATTCTGTCCTTAAATGAACTGTGTAAAGCTTATGGGTAAGCTTACCATTTGATTGCATGAATATCTTTTTAAATATTGTTTGTGTATCTCTAGTTGGGTACTGTTTCTCCAACAGTTATTAGTCGATACGACATAAAATGCTACCACCACTAATTCTACAACAGTTATTCATACTAAATATATACTTAAATTTCACTAATAGCAAAAGTAAGTATTAAGTAGGTACTTGGAAAATCAAAGTTAAAAATATTAAATTATTTATTTGTTTTTATTTGATTTGATAATTTTTTAGATATAAATCTAAATGTTTTTATAGTTATTATAAATAATCAATTTATAAGAATATAAAATATAAATAAAACAGGTTAAGTATATTTTATATTGAGATCTTGAAATCTTCCTGGGATGGAAGTATGATGTGAACTAATAGACCTTATACTTGTATAAGGTTTATACGAGAACTTGAAAGGTTGCGAGGATTTGGATGGGGTGATTGTAGATGTCAGAATAGAAACAATTTAAGAGAGTTTTAGCTATGTGTTAAATTGTTGGAATAGAGAGGCATTTGTGAAGGGAGCGATTTAAGATGAAAAAAAAAAAAAAATGGATGCTTTGATAATTTGGCATAGACGTTTAGATTTTGTTGATGTTGCATGGTTTGGCTGTGCTCCATGGTTATTTTTCATTATATACAATGCAACCGTAAGCTCTCTCTAATTCAAAACCGTCCAAGTTCATTTTGATTTATTAGTTTGGATACTTACCGTGAGACACTCAGCTGTTTTTTATTTAATAGCGTGAAATATTATAAAATACATAATTTAAATAATCTAATATCGATTTAATTATTTTTTTAATTCCTCGGACAATTTATATGAACATCAAACTGAACTAAATGAACTAGTGTGACTTCCAACATATTTTTGAAAGTTTTGCAACATTTAAAGCGCTTATTTTATAGAAATACGTATTATATCAAAACTTTTAGTTCTTCTACATTTAAAACTTGTGTTGTTTTCTACTTGAGAAAAACGAAAAACATTAATCAATTGTACTCAAGTATACGAGCAAATAAGAAGATCCCCTCTTTTTATTTGCTCGTATACTTGAGTATATTTCTCCAGCCCTCCCTAGATTGTTTATAGTGCTCCCAAAAACTAATGACTATAACTAAAAACTATATAGTATATTGTACTTTGTAAGTCCTTCCTTCCAAAAAAAACCACTATACCCTGAAGTAAGGTGCAGACATTATATTTACAAATGTATGTACAATACAAAATATAATTGTGTACCACAGTTGTTCAAATTAATTACATCTAAAGTTATCGATAAAACTTATATTAAGCTATTTGTAAAAATTATTCGTGAGTACTATTTTGTATTTTTGTAACTGAACCATACACGTTCGAGTGATGTTTTTCTTTTTCTTTTTGATATAGGAATTGGATACCTAGTATTGTAACCATGGCAAAATGCGCACTACCAAATCGACTGTTTTATTAATATGACAACTGAAATAGTTCGGTTAATTGGTCTTTTAAACGCCATAACATCGTAGTTCGTATCTATTTCAGTATTTTAGAAGTAAACGATACCTACAGTAGAAAAATGGCGTACCGTACAAAAATTGTTGATCAGGGAGGAATTTTCAACGCTTCCAGACCGTTGGCGTACAGTGCGGAGACTCGTGACTTTTTGAATGGTATGAAAATCAATAATGTGTATTACAATACTATGTTAACATACTCTATAGCAGTAGCGCACACAAGATTTTTTTTTCTTTGAGATGGGGGGGTTTGTGTTATTAATAATATATTACAGAGATTAATCTTGTATTACCGGTATGCAAACATACGATAAAACATTAATGAAGGAAGACATTTCGAGAGGTGGGTTATGACCTGTTAATTCCCGCTTCATCCCTGTGTATGCCTCTGCTCTATAGTATAATTTTTGTGCGTGTATTTTTATTTTATTTGAAATGAGTCAGTGTCCTTTCTATTTTTTTTTTTTTTTATTATATTTTTATCTAATAATATTTTACTATCAGTCTTTGTTGGAGAATTTTCACAATATAGGTTCACTTGGACACAAACATGAAATACTGTCAGCATATAAAATATGAAAACATAAGTAATATTTTTGGTACAAAGTTTATTACGTTAAAAAATAACTAATAAATAACAATTGAAATAGGTACCAACACTTTACTTGAGATTAAGTATATTTCACATAATACTAGCAATAACATAATATTTAAAGAGTGTTATGGCACATGATACCATGTGCGTTTTTAATTCGCAATTAAACGATAATATATCAAAAACATTATAATCCTGTGCACATAATTTACTATTTTTATAAATTTGCCGGCAAAAAAAATAAAATAACCAATTTCAATACTATGAGCTATTACAAAAATAGAAATTTACAAATAAATATATCAGTTTTTAAATGAAAGGTATTTAAAACAATAATTTTTACTGTACCTATGCATTATGAAGTGATCACAATAGTTGCTATATGAATAATAACATAAACACAAGTAGATATTATAATTTGTTGTATATTTTACACAGGAATAATAATTAAGTATTAAGTTTGTATAAAATATAGAGAAAAATATAGAGTGCTACCGTTTAACCCTTGTTACGAAGTGGTCAATGTATGAGTTTATATTGTTATAGAACTAGAACTACAACTAATAGTAATACTGATTGGGCTTTCCTTTTTATACTATGTACAAAATGTGTCGTAATGTGTAGAATAACAATATTGTATATGACATATGTAGTAGCGCAATAGATTATGTTAGCATGTAATAGTATCATTAATTGAGCTGATTATTACAATTATTATAATTATGGTACTATGATTAATTACGAGCAAATTTATCATAAAAAATGCATCTACCTTAAAATCTATAATTGATGTTGAAATATCAATATAATAGTTAGCAACACAAAGTGTTGAGAAATCCAATAATATTATTATTTAAATTGCATCCAATTTAAAAAGAAATGTAGAAAATCAACATTTGGCATTAAACTCATAGAGTGAACTAGATTACTGTTTTTCAATTATTAATACGTTTTAATTCGATTTAATCATTTAATGAGTATAAGGAAATAATTTTCAATCACACTAAAAAAATTCTATAGCTTTGTGGTTAATAGGAAATATATTATATTTTAATAATTTTTATTAATTTAATTAATTTAATTTTTAAATTTAAATTTTATATTATAAATAATATATATTCCTTCACATATTATATTTCATTTGGATGACTTACTTATTGATCTTATTGAGTAAATAATACATTTGCCAATTCAAAATAATTAAACGATTGATTTTTTTATTACGTACTATACTGAATTTACTCAAATTATTAAACTCGTATATTTGGCAGAAAGAATGAAGTATATGTATATACAATGTCTAGCATAATTAATTAAAAGTTTTAACCGAAACCCGTCTAACAATCAGATTAAGTTTCTATTGGTAGGATTAACCACGACATTGAGTAAGATCATCCTCATTACGTTGTATCAATCTCTTAGCTCACGTAAATAATAAACATAAAGCAATACATATTATGTATAAGTTCTGGTTACATAGCTTACTATGAATTCTAGTGACAATGACTTAATAAGATTTTAAAATTGTAATATTACTACGATCCATTTAATTTTTAAGTGGCACTTGTTGGTATACATGCATGAAAAATGTCAGGTGCTCGTTAGACATTAATATAATTAATTAATTACTTTAATTAATACATCCATTTTTCACTCATCAACAATAAAACACTGTCTGGGGGTCGAAATAAAGATTCTTGACAAGTTTTCTGGGTTGGGTTGAAAATAATTATTAAGTAGACCTTTCTTTACTCACACTCATATTTTCGAGGCTAGGTACGAAAACGTTTGAAAAACGTCCTCAGTCTGGACTAGATTCTAAAATGATTGATTTTTATTTGATAAAATGTTTAGCATTCGATTTTACATTTTAATACGTTTTTGTTCGAAATAATTTTTTACAAATACATATCATGATAATAATAGTAAAAATAATGAAAAACCCAGAGCTTTTTGCGGATTCGAATCGTTGTAATAAAAGAGTCACCAAATTATAACAATTGTTATCTTTAAGGATAGAGACAATGTGAGTGTATAAATTCAAATAAGAAACAAGTAAAGCTATCAGTGTGTTCATTACAGCGACATTGTGAAAATTACTCTCTACGTTATAGTCTTCTTCAATTTGTCTCAAACATCAGTGCGTTATAGAAGTCATGGAGTTTATTCGAAAAAGACAATATTAGTATTACATTATTTATATATATTTCTAAAATCCATTGTTCAGTATTTATGATTTGCGTGAGAAATAACTGCTATAAATTTACCATTCGAATGGGTTTGCAACACTACTGATTTATCGTTTTGGGTCTTAATATGAAAAGTTAATACGTTACTTTAATTGAAATAGGTATATTATTATACTATTATACGATAGACACATTGTTATGGTTTCATGTTTATTACTTCAAAAAGAATTGCGATTTTTTGGATTTTAAAGACAAAATTGTTAAAATACGTATTAATAAAATAATAACAAATAATTTATTCCCTTTCCGTTAATTTTATTTCATAATTGTAATATACTCATAAAAATAATACATCATCGGCTTACAATTTTTTATATAGTTTTGTTCTTACCATGTTTATGTAATAAATAATATTTAGAAAATTATGCTAAGGAAATTACATACTATCACATGTATTCCTAAAATATATCAAAATATATTTAATAATATCTTTTTGTTTTGTTTTTCACGATCGTTTTAAAACTGTTGTAAAATATAAGAAATCATTCATAATTTTCATAGATCCGTTTACTTCTGACTGACCTATTTGTTCGTATAAATGTATATAAAACATATGTTCACTAGATTCCTATTATCTTGGAAGTATTGGAGTGCTATGTTTGAGCAATAAAGACTAGAAAAAATACACGTTTTCGTAAAACCAACAGATTCTCTCAGAATTCGAAAATCGTTTTCTTTTATCGAAATGATTGTTGTTCTGACCAGGTGATAGCCGTTTTACAAATAATCATTTTTTATACTGACACAAGTCGCTCTCTGAGTCAGGTCTAAATGGTGACTTTAGTTGTACCACACAGGTGCTATGTCTGTTGTGGCGGTAATTATATTCGTTATAACCGACAGTTTTTCTACTCTTAACTGGTTGTAGCAAATATTGTTACAGTATTTTACGGTGAAACATTTTTTTGCCGATTAACATATGACGAGTACCTACTACTGTCCAGTGTTTTTTTTTATTTTACCGACGGGTTTCGTTTATAGCAGCCGTTAAGAAGTTCCAACATAAAAGGCAGTCAATTGCGTCACGAATAGCTTGACAAAAACAATAACCACTGGTCGAACCGATCATCGTTTTAACCTGCGAAAACCGTTTAAAAAGTACCTCTTTATTAAACAGTAGATTTATTTGTGTTAAAATTGATCTGGATAGTTGAATATTATCCGTTTGACGCAAGCACGTACGACGAGAACGCTGGACGATGATGATTGTGCGATAGCGACTTATTTTGTATTTACACCATTAACGTTCCGAAAAAAATTCATCGGGTATGTTGGTTGTTAGGATATCACAGGTCATAATATTTCATTAAATACGATTCAAAAGCTTTCGACAATGGTGTATTGTGTACGTTATAATAAGTCGAACTGGGATTTTGTCACGTAGAAAGATTTAGATTAATTTATCTAACATTTGAGAGCAAGATAATAGAAACGTTATAAAGTTGCACCTCTGTATATAGGCTTGGGGCCGTGCTTATATTTATAATAATAAATGATTATAATCCGTGTGGATAAAACGAGGATAAGCCAATGAACGAAACACTGCGAGTGTTCGAGAAGAGAGCACGTGTCGGAAAATACGAGGTGTGTGTGTGTGTGTACACGCGTGGTAATCAAGCGAAAAGCCATTTTTCCCTTGTCTTGTGCACACTATATGGGCTTTAATGTAATCTTCGAACTATTATAATTAATTCGCAGTATTTATGTTTTGTGTGTCTTACAGTTTTTTCTCGTCTTATAGGCACACTTGTTCTGAATAACTCGAGAGACAACTTTTAAATGTTTCAACTATGTTTAACCAAAGTTAAACACACGGTGTATAACCTAATCTGCACAGTGGTGTTACGTGCGAATTAATAAAGTTATGTGTGTTTATGTTATAAAGTGCTGCACAATAAAGTGTATTAAACTTACTATTGTGGATGGTGAAAACTGCATACGGTGCCCGTAAACTTAACGTGCGTTATTGTTCGAAATATAAAATAAATTGATTTTCTATCGACGGTAGTAGAAAGATATAATATATCCTACCCCATAACCACCACTTAAACGTATCTGTGTGCAAAACAATCTAGTGTATTCAGTAAGAGCGTACGAAATGCGCGCCTATAGTGAACGGGTCTATACAACTTTTATTATTATATTCCTCACTCAGTTTAGCCCAAAGCAGTGGGCTTAATGGACATTTGAAAATGTTCTGATCATTTTCCTTTTGATCTCATTTTTATGGTTATTGTGACGGGATAATCTAAAGACGTATTTCAAATTCAACTATATTTGAGTATCTATTAACAGTACAACTATATATACATATACAGAACAATACTAAATATATAGTAATCAGGGGTCGTTAATTTACGTATTTGTGAGTTGATTTTTTTTTTGTGAGGAAAATTTTGTACAAATTCGTTTTATGACAACAGTATAATCACGATAATTAAGTTTAATGCCTGTATTTGCAAATTTCGAAAGTGTGGGAATAATTGGTATACGTTTTAATTGTTTGAACTATTAATATATATTATTTTTAATGAATTCAGGCAACTGATGTTCCAGTTTAAGTAAAACATTATTAGACAAAATAGTTAAATTTAATAAAATGTTAAAGCTTTGAACTTTAAGTGGTGTGTTAAATTTTTACTTTTTTTTTATTCAAACACGCGTTCTGAGTTAGGGAACATTCAAGTATTACGTTAGTAAACCAGAGGGAGGGGTTAGAGAAATCTAACAGTATCTTACATGGGGGGGGAGGGCTAAATTTATAAACTGATGTCAGCATCATGTCCATCAAAATATGAATTTCGAAAAAATCCCGAAAAAATCAAAAGTCGATGAATTACCAACAGCATCAAAGACTGGAAGATATAAGAGTTCCGCAAGTTCCGTAGATTTTCGCTGAAGCAAGGTCCTCTCATCTACCCACCATTGTGGCTCAATTGTAGTGGTGTGTTGAAGCAATTTTCGAAGAAATTAGAAAACGTATTTGTATTTTATATTACGGAAATAAAATATAAATATTTATTAAGAAATCCAGAAATTTATTTTGGTAATTGAAGAAATTAATTTTATTAATAATATTTAAATTATTTAGGGGGTCTATGAAAAACGTCGACGTAAGATAGAAGGGGGATAGTTACTGTCTAACGTACGCTGAAATAGGGGAGGAGGAGAGGTTCAAACATTTAAAAATATATGCTGACGTAATACTTGAATACTCTTCTTATTTCATCATTAGCGAACAAAATTAACTACCTATAATATTATGTAAACGGGAAACCAGGAACGACACAGAGAAAAGCAAATATTCGGCTTGGTACAAGTTTCCCGAGTGTCGAGTACAACGTCCACGGCGGTATTACATTGCATTGACAAGCCATCAGAACGAACATCTATAAATTCTCGGACGATCATCGTTTTTACACAGAACTCGCGTTTATTCGGTATATTAATTATACGTCCGTGCGTAAACATATCGCAAGGGTCCCCGAAGTAGAATTCTGCTACGGTTATACTATATATTATGTTCCGCGAAATAGTAAACGATTTATCAGAAGTGTATTTATGGATGATTGCTGAGAGGACTATATCCCACATCCGAAATACAGCTATAATCACGCACTTAAGACTAGTAATTATAATTCGGAATTAAAATTAATCACGATGCCGTAAGTATGATTGCACGCGTGTGTGTGTATGATGTTTGTTATATTTAACATATATAACGATTGGGTTTTCGATTTTTCGCGGTAGCATAAGTTATCTCCTTAGACTCACTGTGATTATTTTCCTTTCTCGACTCATCAATGTGTTTGAACCTCGCAGTTTTGATGAAGGAGTCGCGGTTGACGACGTTGCAGAGGAAATCTCTACTGAGTAATCTGAGGTCTGGAGGCAGCAGCTCAACAACGATTTCAGCGGCGTCGATCAACCGGCCAGCACCGAAGACTAACAAAGTTATCAAACAGTTTAGGTCGTTCAGACCGCGGACTTTAAAAGACATTGTGGAGTCCGGTGCTTATCAACCTGAAGCGTACGTTCCAAATCCAAAAAAAAGTAAATATTATTGTTTGATTAAGTGAAACTCGTTCGTGTTCTATAATAAATTTTATTATCGAACATGAACGAAGCCGTTAAAAATCGGAATACTGTCCTGGTGTTTTCAATATATATATTAATACATGATATAAGTAATACACAGCTATTGCATATAGGCGTTTTGGTGTATTTGAATGAATCGCAAATCGTTTACTTGACAAAGAACACAAATTATATGACTCTCGGAATATCGTCTAAATTTTAAAAACTTTGTCGAATAGAAAACAAATATTTGTTTAGTTAATAATTTTTTTCTTTCTTTGATGATTTACGTTGAATAATTAACAATGCAAACATTGGTTTTCCCATGATCTTTGAGTCATATAAATATATAGTAAATAATATTGTTCTAGGATTTGTATAGCATTGTTCATCGCGAAGCGACATTTCTTAATAACATATTCAGCTGAGCTGTTTCCATAGTACCTGAAATTTAAATAAAGGACCATAGATTTTGGGGATATATATATATATATATAATTATGTTACGAGTAATGTTAACATTTGGTTAATGGCGACATTATCCGGCTAAAGTCGATATTAGGCAACTGTTATCATTACCCGCTATGAATATTATTTAATGTTGGCTAATATTAACATTAACCGGATAATATGATATTAGCCAAGAACTTTTGGATAATTTCTTAATACCCTTAAAAATTTAACGTGCATGAGATAAAATCATTGTAAATCATTAACAATATTAAATATATTTGACATACAATAAATTATATGTACATAAGTGCAACTTCTTGAATCAAATTTTTTATTTCTGCCATCATTCGATTTTTACCACCATGACCAATATTAAGGTGTATCTCATTTAGTATGTCATATACTTCTTCATTTTTTACGTAATCTAGTAAATTAGTACTACCTTTTTTAATAGGTGCTATAAGTTTCTCTCATCCTCCAATATTAACAATTTCAAATTTATTCAAACGACGAGATTTATTGCCGCCTTTCAATTCATTAATTATATTCAAATATTTTACATTTGATAAATAAGATGAATTATCTTCTCGTTTTTCAGACAATAATTTCTCAAATAAATTATCAAACTCCAGTTTTGTTTCCATTTTATTAAAAATGCAATCTAAAACACTTAACAGTTTAACACTAATAACATTGTGCTTGCAATTATCACGTGTGAAAACTGAAAGCAGACTAATAACAGATCGACGCACGACGTCATATTTTGTATAGCGTATATAAAATTATAACAAAAAATGTCGTACAACTAAGATAAATATTAAACCCACATATCGATATATTGTTCACTTTATCGGTAAGATAACTGATTAACTCGGTTACAAGTCAAGATATTATACTCTGGAAGTCCAACGTTTTTTTAATATATAGAATGCTAAACTCTATTGTCTATTTAATACACTTTTAACATTATCCAATATTGACTGGTTAAGGTTAACATTATCCGGATAATATTATTAATTACTGCTTATAAACGAAAAATTACACATTAGCCATAACAGATGGCTAATGTCGACTTTAGCCGGATAATGTCGACATTATCCAAATTTTAACATTACCCGTAACATATATGTACACCGTGATCACTTTTGTTTACACTCGTAAAAATAATAACGATAAATTGGTGTTTATTTGTTCAATTCGAATACGATTTCGATCTTATTAATTTACATTATCTTAGAGGTAACCGACAGGGTACCAGTTAATATTTATAATCAGTTTAAGTGCTAAAAAATAACTTAATTGTTAAAACTATGCGTGTGATTTATTTCGATCAATTTTGTTATGATGATAGTATTTTTGTAAATTAATCAAACGTAAAATTATTAGAAAATTATGTCGCGGAAAAAGAAAAGCTACAGAGCATAATGACTAACGGAAAAGAGACGAAAATGCATAATACAGAAAAAAAGAAACAATTGGCCGATCGGAAAAAGCCCCAAGAACATACTATAGAAGAACTCATTGACTTAAGTAAGAATTTTACACTATTATCAATTTTCTTATAACATAAATATCGTGTTTCGAATTTGTTGCAGTAAAAATTAAAAATAAATTTAGATTAAATTTAATTCATTTAAACATAGTAAAAACAAATATTGATTAAATACTCGAAAAAAGATTTATTTTTCATCTTTTACCAAATCAATAGCTCAATAATTATAACTTAGTGAAAAGAGAGAAAAAAATATTAATTTAAGTTTGTAAATTTAACTAATTTTATCTAGTGATTCGTACATAAGACATACAATTTATTTTCACAAAATATGATGTTAATTGATGTTTTGAGATTCTATTAAGTAATCATTTTAGTACATATTTTCTACCTTTTTACGACTATCATTTTTATGAATTACAAAAATATCTGTATTAAATTATAACATATTTTAAAATTTTAAATAAATATAGAAATGTTAATAATTTTCAACTAAACAGACAATGGTACGAAAATTTTTTTTAAAATTATAAATATTTTTTTGCAAAGATTGTAATGTTAAAACCATAAGCGTCGTCAAAGGGTTAACAGAATCATATTTAACTTAACCAAATATGTAGTTTTCTAGAAAAATTAATTATAAACCTTAATAACAATAACTAATAACAATGTATATACTAATAACAATGTGGACTGATTTTTAATCCAGAAAATATTGTATATAGTTTTAAGAACTAATTGGGTTAATGTATTTTTTTAAATTCAAAGTATATAAATAAGTATTTCCATTGATGTTTTATTATTTATTTTGTATTTTTATTTCAGTTAATCATATAATATATTTAATAATATATTTTCAGTTATAAACTTTTTAAAGATTACAATCAATATCGAGAATTACTATATCACAGAAATGTAAAACAAAAACATAGAATTACAAAAATAGGAAATTAGATAAAAGTATTTGATGTGGATGGTTAGGTTTGTGAAATTTTAAATTTTGGAGGCAGTCTGATTGGTAAAGGATATTGTAGAAATAATAACGGAGATTGATTTTGTAGTAAGAATGGATTGGGTATAATAAGGTGTGGTAGAGAGGACACTGAAGGGTTAAAGATGGGTAATAAAAGGGAATATGATAGATATCACAGATTGCTTCTGTGTGGTGTACTGTGAATAGGATTGAGTCATAATATATTAGTGATAATCTATAGGAGTGTTATGGGGCCTATTATGTAATATGAAAACGATACTATTGTGTTCCTGCTTAAATTTAAGTTGTTGAATTATAGATGGGAGGGTATTACTCTGGCTGGGTACACCATAGATGGGTGAAATTTGTTTATAGCAGGTGGCAGAGGGGGGTAAGTTTGTTCATTGATTTTATCCCAAGCTGGTATTTATTTGATCATCGTGGAAATAGAGGAAGAAAGGGACATACAAATATCGGATGAAAGGCCATGCTGGGTGAATAAGGAGTCGGATACAATAAGAAATGTATTGGAGTAAAAAAGTATAAATGGTTCGGAAAGCTTCTAGAATAGTTAAACATTCGGCTGTGTACGAGGAAATGGAAAGCGGGAGATTGTTGGAAAGGTCTGGAATGAAAAAAGCGATTGAGGGGGGACGGTACCATCTGTAAATATTAAGGTAAAGTTTGGAAAAGTATTTATTTAATATTGAGAATATATTCAAGAAAGAGATTATTAACAATAGTTGGTGGGATAGTTTAGTCTTATAGTTAGTTTTAAGAGACTTAAATCAAAAGATCAAAAATGTAATTATTCATCTGCAATTAATATACTGTAATTCATGTTGTCCATATTTTATGTTATTTATAACATTCCTTCTTTGTATATGAAAAATGCATTAAAATAAACATTTCTTTTTATACTTTCCGTATAATTTATTGAAAATATGGTATGTAACCGAAAATATTAATATACTTGAAATGTTAACGCTCTTCGAAAAAATCAAAAATTACGGATGGGTTAATTTTCCCTATTTTTAGCACTCCTTCAATCGTATAGTTTCACTTGCGCATGCGTACGTCGCTTGCTCCAAACAAAAGGCCCACATAGGTTCACAACTTAAACTATAAATTAAATTAATTATTGGACCTGGGTATTTGGCCTGGAATGACGCACAAATTCTTTCACCGGAGTAACATTAACATTGTAAATATAATATATATTATAGGTACACGTATACATTAGAGATGGGCAAAATACATCGATATTTTCGTTCGATATATCGAAACCCTACATAGATGTTTTTATTGCGATGTATTGAAAAAAAAAATCGATTTTTTTTTCTAAGTCCAATGTTTAAATAACGTATTTATTTAAACATTTTACAATTTATACATAGTATACATACATATAAATAGATAAAAATTTTCTTATAACTTATTAAGGTAAACATCGATGTTTTTGTCGAAAATATCGATCACCAACATCGATGTAGATACATCGATACATCGGAACATTGATGTTTCAAAATTTTTGCCCATCTCTAGTGTACATGATACGTCTACCTTGTATATTATCTATTTTTAATTTTTAGTTTAGCGTTTTAAGATGTTTTTTTTTTCTAAAAGATTCGTAGACTATACAGAAAAATTATGACTATGTTTGTGGAACCATTATTGAAAGTTTAATAGCATGATTACTTTGTGAAAACATTTATAACTCCAATAGGGTGAGATTTAAATAATTGTTAAGTAATTTTTCATGTTTTCTTTAAAAATAAAAAACTATTTGTTCAGTTTCGTACTAAAGTTTTTACTTATGATAAAAACTTCTTATTTGTTACGAATAAACTTGGGGGGGTCCGAACCCCATGGACCCCCCCCATTGGCTACGTCCCTGTTGTATGATATATATTGCTTCAATTGTGGAACTGAATGACTTATGGCCGTTTTATTTGTACAATTTTTTTTACAGAGGTATATTTATTTTTGAAGACAGTAAAAAATAAGAATATAACAAATACAAAAAAAAAAAAATAATAATAAAAATAGAATCATACGATTATTATAAGGTAGAAATATTTTATAATCTTTGTTGGTTGAATGACAAAATTTTTTTGCGTATAGTTATAAATTAAAATCGAATTTTCTTTAAACATGATCGGTATCAATTAAAATTATTTAAATTTATAAAAAATTCGTTTAAAAATAAATATATACTTATATAAATATTACGAAATACTCGTTCTTAGAAAAAATTTAAAAAACTAATATATTTCAAATGTGTAAAAATGTATTTTTATTAATTTCTTTTGTGTGTTTTAAATAACCATAATTTATTATTATATATTCATGTACATAAAGTTTTATTTGAATGACATAAATTCACACAATATTTTATAATTTTTCAATATTTTTAAAAATTATAATTGTAATAAACTGACTTAAATCACTTTAATAATTAATTTATATTAATAGATTCTCTCACTTCTATGTGTTTATGTAACAATTAACAGTTCAAATTACTAAATGAGTTAACTTGAATAGTGAGTAAAAAATAGTTTTGTTTCTATGATGAGATATAATTATTTTTTATAATTATATAACTATTACTATACGATTTATCCTTAGGCTTAATTATTTATTTTCTTTGGTACTTTCGCTGTTTCATGAGTAATAACAATTTACGTAGATGTTTTTTATCACACACCAACGGCACACTACATACTCGTAATAATAAAATCCTTTACATTTAAAGATTTTACATAAATAATGAGTTGATAAAGTACGAATCAATAAGATTAATAGGTTAGTAATAGGTTAGTAACAGGTTACCTGTTATAGAAATATCATTTGGATATCGGTTAAAGTAATAAAAAAAAAAAAAAAAACGGAATATCATGCGATACCTTGGGAATAAATATTATTCCAGGCGAAATAGTTTTGACCAGACGAAAACGACATTGGATTGAAACTTGAATGTATTCAAGATCATTATAATTTAATAGAATTCAAACTTCAAACTTCACGTTTTTCCGTTAAAATTATTTTGAGTCTATAAATTAGTACAATTGGAAGAAAAAAATTCACAGTCCATATTTTATCAGATCACAAATCTCTTACTAGTTAATAAATAGAAAATAAAATTAGCATAATTTCAAAAGAAACTTCAATATTTAAAATTGATTTTTGACAAAACGACAGATAGCTCGAAAATCCACTACATTTTGTAATTAAAATTTTTTTAAAATTTACTCTATTAATATTGAAGGTTTAAAGATTAGGTACAAGAATTTTAATATTCTTTTCCTTGTATAAAAAAAAAAAAATTGACACAAAAATCGCAGAAAATTATTTACTAGCGTTACAGAATAAATTGGATATTTCAACATACTTCGGTTAAACGATATTAGTTATTTAGACATTTAAAAATTTCTATCTATAGATACTTGAGATTTTTGATTTTTTTAAAATGTTATAATCCTTTTTTTGTTGTGAAAGTTAATAAATTAAAAGTTTAACCTTTTTTATTTAGAAATTGATTTGGTTCTTCTACTAAATCAATCATCTTTAGAAATATAAACTGATTATCCCGATCTTATTTACTCGAAATCGTTTTCTTTTTTTTTTGAGAGCAATGATACATCGGTTCCAAATTTAAATGACTAATGCAGTCATACCATTTACTCATCCCTGAATATCTGACCTCATTCTACTGGATTTCACCTACCAGTTTATCCCTTTTTTGCTTTTATCGTAGAAAAATTACAATAATGCAGTTAAATTATAGTTACAAATGTACAAGATATAAAGTTAGAAGTATTTACAAAATGTCCAGTATTAGGAAGCTAGCGGAATTGATACATTTCATAATTTAATGAATAATATAAGTGGAGTAGAAATGTTTATCAGAATATTTAGATCAGAAGTGATACAATGAAAAAATACTTACAATATCATTAAAAAAAAAGAGGGCAGTTTAATGTTATATAATTTAAATCGCTGTCTGTATCTCCGTCGGGTACATCGCGTTCAACGTTTAATCCGATTGAAAATACAAAATGTTGC